CCCCCCCCGCCTTTTCTCCAGCACTTGTAGTCATGTTCCTGTGTAATCCTCTCAAAAAGCCCATATGAAAACTTCATTGGTTGACCAGACATAATCCTCGGTGAACTCTAAGTACCTGAATATGTTTGATTGTAAGAGAGGGAAAGCCGATGGAAAAAAAAAAAGCTACCCGTGCTCTGCTGCCAGACATTTGGATTCAGAGTATAACATAATCCAGCAGCTATTTGAAGTAAATCTTTGGCCAGCGTGGCTTAAATAATTAATCTGCAGACATCATCTATGACGACACTTCATGATTAGCTATTAATAAACCCTTTAAAGAGATTTGATCTCTATCCTTAAGTATTTCACAGCAATTCTTCATAGTCAGGGATAACATACTGCACAGAAACAAGTATTTTCTTATTTTTCTTCTTGTTTAATATTTTATTATCTAAAACATATAAGCTTACTTCCTGTACTTCTCATTTTACTTCAAATTGCTGAGTTGAAGATGTTCCACTATTTTGATTCCTGGAGAAATTATGGTGATACCAGAAAGGAGCTGAAATGATGAGAGCTGGGTGAGCGTACTACTATTTTACTCTGGTGGTGAATTGACTTTCTAATTATTTCTTGCATAATGCTCTTTGGAACAACAGATCCTTTCATGTTGGCAGTTAATAACGGCCTGCAGCGGTTCAGGAAGTGGGGTCAGAGTAACACTTCCTACCAGATGACAGCTCCGTATGCCCACCAGTGTCTGGGGACTTGAATGTACATGTCATTAAGGCTCTGGTGGTTATTTTATGTTGATAATTACTAAAATAATCTCTAGAGGACTCTTGCATCTAGCAGAAATAGTCATTTTTTTCAAGTACAGATCAAGGAACCATAAATGTCCAATTTTTAATGGAAAATGGTTGACTTACCTGCAATAAATGAGAAAGTTGCTGATGACACATGTGTCAGCAGTTCTTAATTAAGCAACAACACAGTCAACTGACAGGCTGTCATCAGTTAATCTGCTTAAAAACACCAACTGGGGGCTTCTACTGTATGTTACATCCACTGAGTGTTAGGTCCGCAATGCTGGTTGAATGAATACTACAGTGTAATCACCCTGACACACATCCGGTGGAGGAAGAAATACCCAGAGCTAAACTGAAGTACAAATAGCGATACTGAAGAGTAGAAATACACGCAACAATACATACTGTATACATCAGATCTTTATACAGTTAGATCTTGATGTTTATTATTGATAATGGTGAATTTTATTTGATAGTTTAGCTCCTGTACACAAGTACAGTGGATTTTAAAGCAAACAATCAACATGTGATTGACCTGCAGTGTTTCAGCATTAATTCAAGCTTTTCAGAAAAATTTGGAATTAGTTTTTTTTAGGAATTACAACCCCCTTCACACATAATTCCATATTTTCAGAGGGTCAAAAGTAATTGGATAATTCATGGACAAGCAGTTTCATGATCAGGCAAATCCTTTTTCCTTGTTTAGCTGATTCCAAGTGTTGAACTTGCTCTGTGCATCTTTTCATTTGAATTCTCAAGTTAAGGTTCAAGAGAAAGAGGTTTCCAGCGCTGCACACAAAGCTGCTATTTAAACCTTACAAGGACTGTCAGTCATTAATGGTAATTTACATTTGTTAGATAAGCATCATAATCTTTTTGAACATGAATAAAACGATAAGAAAAGACAAGAGAGTTTATATATCTGCAATTCTTTATTAAGTATTTGATTATTGAATGGATATTGAGTGCATGTTGTCACTGTTTTAGATTAATCAGGATGACTGCAAATTATAAACATTACATCAACCACACAAAAACAATGTTTTCCAGTATTTGTAGAATTTTATAGGAACCGGTCATTATACAAAATCCACTGTATACATTGTAGAGTAGAATTGTTGTCTTTCAAATTCCACCAACTAATATTTAAGATTTGAAAGGACTTCATTTATTTCATTCATTGCATTTTCCCAGGAAAGTCTCTTGGAGACATTTCTAAACACTTGCCAGTCCACAGTAATCAGTTCAATTAGTTGTACATAACGATAAGTTATTCGAATGTGTCACCGCTTTGCCAAGTACTGGAAAAAAACCCAAACTGTCACCCTCAGATGAGAGCAAACTGATAATGATGCTCAGAAACAACACAAGACTGAGGGTACCAACAAGAATAAAGCCCTTGCTCCAAACTCAACACCTTCGATCTTGACTAAAATTTGGATCTGCCCAATTAATACGTCAAATGACTTCAGGAGAAAAGTTTAATTGTATGGTCAGACGAGACAAAGATTGAGCTATTTTGGCACAGTCACAAATACACATCAAAACTGATTTTGGAATCAATAAATTAGGCTAACAATAAACTTCTGAAACAGCCTTCCCAAAGCCCTGACCTCAACCCTACTGAAAATTTGTGGACTGTGCATAAAATCCATTTGTGCCAGGAACCCAACTAATTAAAATGAACTCTACCAATTCTGCCAAGAAGAGTGAGGAAATATTAAACCACAATTATGCAGAAGCTTGTTTATGGTTGCTAAAAGCATCTGGTTGAGGTGCAACTTGCTAAAGGACCAAATAGTAGTCGGGGTGTGTGTATGCAGATTGGAGAAAAATAAAAGTACATTGAAACTTGGGCACCAAATTCTTGTTTTCTGACTCCAATGACTCCATCTGGGAAAATGAACAGTTCAAAAAAATCATTAAAAGCCCAGAATTATCATGACATTCATGTCCATGATGAGTGTGAATGATTTGTGACCACAAATGTATTTTATGTTGTAACATAAAACAGAAAAATGATTTGTTAAAGTAGTCCTCATCTTTAAAAACATATCCTTTTTAAAACAACTTTTATATTAAATTCTGAAGCCCTCTGCTGTTTTCCAAAAGTTTACATGTGTTATACATTTTAACATTTCATATTACGAGTATCAACAGTTGGTAAAAGAAAACCATAAGAATGTGGTACGTGGTTTTTGAAACCTACTTAAAAAAAATAGTCATTTTATAATAACCAGTATAGTACTGTGTATTGTTCAATGTTGTGCTTAAACAATAGTGTGTTTTACATAAACATCAAAGTAAAAACAAATTTCATGATATGCAGAAGTCAAATAGATGAAGTGAAATGTTCCTTGAACATTAATTCATAGAGCACTCTGGACCAGACATGAATTCGCCTCAGTAAATAACACTGATTTATTCAGTGTTAATTCTTGGTGATATCGTATTGTTATAGCAAACTTTGGATGCTGGCGTGGAGGAAAGAAGCATGTTCAGTCGATCTACAGGCAGAGACTGTTGTGAGGGCTGTGAATTCAAGAATGGTCCTCTTTTTTAGAGGATTAATGCACTTCTATCCTGGTGAGAGAGATCACTCACAATCCTGCAACACATGATGGGATATCAGTGGCCTGAATGCACTTTCATATTTCATTAACAGGCACCATAAAGATTAAGAAACTGAATGTCAGACTGTGATGTCTCTTTTTTAGCTGAATTAATCTATTTCAGAGCCTTTCATCTTCAACCAGATGGCAAAATAGGCAACTAGTAAGGAGAAAATGCTCTGATTGCTGTCTTCAAGGACATTTGCACTATAAGCAAAGTGAAAAATGATTAAAATAGCCCAGGCTGCTGTAGCGGAGTCCGTAAAAGAATAAATAGTCATATTTGCTCTGTGCATCACTTGCTCTGCAGGAGTGTTTGCATTAAAACTAACTGGATTAACATGAATGGATGGATATGTTTAATTCTTAAGATGAACTCAAAATGAAAACAAATCACATTTGAATTGAGTGACAGAGAAATTTATGTGGTTACAGAAGTAGCCAAGCCCAAAGTTTCTGCTGTTGTGTATGGAACTGTACACAGCAAAATAAACTAATGCTGATCTCCCAAAGTCCATTAGGAGGTACGTGTTATTTCATGTTTATTTTGTAATGTGAAAATCATTTTAGAAATACAACTGCACACACAACGGGGAGCAGAACAGGTGCAATGGCTACCACTGCTCAAGACACACAAAATGCACAGACACTCATAAACATCTATGTACCTGTGAGAAACCACAAGGACAGAATGCATGTAATTATTGCATGCTCAGTTTATTTGGACTTGTTCTCAATTTGAGGCACATCAATCTTTTCCCCGGTGATTAACTGCCAAATGCCACCTCTGTAGTTCTCATTTCCCAGTGCGTACAGGAGGGCATTGAAGGTGGGAGCAGTCTTAGCCAGGATAGGCGCGATCTGCGGAGACAGGACCCAAATATCATGGTGAGATTTTTCTTAGCAGAAATATTAGGAAATCATTTGTGTTGTTTATTCATGTTTTGACTCCACATGGCGCTTTGCATGTCTTCTGTAACAAAGGGCAGAATTCTTTAAATTCAAGGAACAAATGTTTTATATTAAATATGTACATTTGAAGTACATGCAAAAACAAGCAGCTAAGCTAAGCTGTATTTCTTTAATGCATTATTAAGTGGAGTCAGAAAAACCTTGTGCCAAAGTATGTAATGATAGTTGTTACCATTCTGAGCTTAGGTGAGACAAGGTTTGCATTCTCCACAGCAGCATAGAAAGCCAGGATCCCATAGGGCCCCCAGCAGAACAGCATAGTCTTCAGAGGAGTGTTGGGGTTGAACTGCGGAGGGGAAACAATAGGTAGTGGAGGGAGGATAAATGTGCAAAGGAATGAAAAGTGGGAAAAAGAGAGGATAAGAACAAAAACGATTAGCAAACCACAAAGAGTGAAGGTGAGAAAAAGGCTTTGTGTTATGAGGTTTTCTGCTTGGAGGCAAGTCACATGCCCGGGTGAAAACGGGTTTGTGCTAAGATCATTAATGCTAAGCTACAAAACAAAAACAGTGAGTGGGTGAATGAGAGGGCAGGTCGGTGTAATCCAAGGCTGAAAGCAGACATTATTCTGCACCATAGTTCACACATGCAAAGCAGCACTGAAAAATTAACATATAGTTTTCACAATTCCTACCTATAAGTAGCTTTAGTTTTCTTAACATCGTTTCACTGGATACTATATTACCTTTAAAAAAAAATAATTTTTTTTTTGACCTCACCGAACTGAACACCTTTGCTTACTGTGCATACAAATGTTTATTTGTCACCTTTTGGTCATTTAATTGTATAGTAATGTTTTGGGTTACTGTGTCCACAGATTGAGTTTAGATTTACTCTGTTCACAGAGCTCCTCAAATGTATGCTACACATAAGAAATGATGAAAAACTGGGGTTTATGTTTGATTTAAAAGTGGGATGAAAAACATATGATTTCATTGTGAAGCACTTTGTGATATTTATCTTGAAGGATGATTTATAAATAAATATTTACTTACTTATTTAATAGGCTATTATTACACACTCAGTTTGCACTGCCTGGGAAACAGACTGTCCATAGGGATACCAGACAGTGAGTCCTTAAAGACCCATTGTAAAAGGAAAGTCCGAACACTTTTTTTTCTAAAAAATTTAATTTGATAGCTGGGGTCGAGATAAAAAAAAAAGTGTTAAATTTCAGTAAAACACATTTCTGTATGCACCAAAGCAGCTTTAAAACATTCTCCATAATGATTTCACACATTTCAAGCAGCACCCACCCAACTGGGCTACCATCACAACCAGCTGCCTCTTATAAAGACATATAAGTTCTTGTTTTGCTCCTGATTTGTGATATAGTAATCTTTTGAAAACAGGTGCCAAGCAATCAGAGTACATTAGTGATTTTCAAATATTTTGTGGGCTTTCATTTTTTTTTGTATCAAAGCAGGTTTAAACTTTAGGCTCTATGAGGACGATGTTGGCAGTGCAGTCTAGGTGAACTGCTACCAATTTGGTAGAATTGAATGAACTGACTTTCAAATGGGAACATTACATTAGCTAAACCTCTATAAACAATTTGTTTTTAAGGCCATTTTATCAAATGTGTGTTTGTGAAAGACTGTCCTACACTGAGTGTTAATGTTAGCTCAGTAAAATGAGCTTGCTTCTAGGTTCATAAGGTAAATAAAATAGTTTTGTTTATAGAGGATTGTTTAATTTATCCCCAGAGAAAGATGATGACTCCAAAATGCTCCAAATAAAGAAGTGATAACAATCAGACCAAGTCAGACAAGAACAGACAAAATTCTCTGTGTTTAATGATACTTTATCAAAATAAAGCCAAATAAAGCCATATGCACTGTGGTGCTTTTGCTGGACATTAGCCTGATTTAAGCTTATAAAATGGAAAAATCCCATCCGTCCATCTATTTTCTGTATCACCCCTGACAGTGGGTGACATACAGAATACACACTAGGCAGGCTGCCAGTCAGTTACAGGGCTAACACAGAGCCAGCCATTCATGCTCACATCCACACCTACATCAAATTTAGACTCACCACTTAACTTAACATTCGTCTCTTTGGGCTGTGGGAGGAAATCAGAGTACCCATAGAGAACCCACAAAAGCACAGGGAGAACATGTAAACACTGCACAGTACCACAAAGTCTCTATTATTACAGCTAAAAAGACAGAAAAAATATTGTTGACTTAAACAGGCTGTACTTAAAATAACAGTAAATATACTAGGCTTATAAAAAACAAAATAAAATTGTCCCAACAGCTATAATGTAACTATAGCTAAGAAACTGTGATCTGTCTGAGGTGTGGAAGAGTACACAAAGTCACTGTCTGTTAAATCCTGATCAGGCACTTACTGCTGTTGTGCCTGGCAGATAAATCTGTGGCTCACAAACTACTGTGTTCTGTCTTTTTCAAATACAAACAAACCAAAAAACCCCAAAAAAAACCAACCCTCAATGACATATGAGTCCACTTAAAGTCAAGATGCCCAAGTGTTCTAGCACCATGGTGAATCTATGTGGTGCTGAGACTGTGAAAAGAATCTCCAAACTCCATCCACATATATCGGGGATTCCCTACATACTTATATTTAATAATCTGTAAGTAGCTGAAAAGAAACACTGACATTTGCTTATGCTTGAACCTTTCCAGAAGGGATAATGATCAGCTCTGTAAAATTGATTACACATTTACAAGATGGAGTTTTCTTTTAGATAACCCGGAAATTTTTTGTAACCATCCCAGGTCTATTTTCTCTCCTTAATTTAGGTTGTGTCACATTCCTAGGCGTTGTTCTGCTTTCAAGTTTTAATGCAGACTTTCCCCCTTTTCTTATAATTTGACTGTAAACTGTTTGATTATTACATAATTGCTGTTCTATGGTAGAGATGGACCGATCCAATATTACATATCGGTATCGGTCCGATACTGACGTAAATTACTGGATCGGATATCGGAGAGAATATGTCTGTGAAGGTTCTCAGTCATCCAGGTCATCGTAGTCAAAGGAGCTTGCAAAGAAAAGCGTCTGGACTTCTTTAAGTTACTTGAAGACGTTTCACCTCTCATCCGAGAGGCTTCTTCAGTTCACTGAAGAAGCCTCTCGGATGAGCCTCTCGGATGGAGGCTTCTTCAGTTCACTGAAGAAGCCTCTCGGATGAGAGGTGAAACGTCTTCAAGTAACTTAAAGAAGTCCAGACGCTTTTCTTTGCAAGCTCCTTTGATATCGGAGAGAAATAAAAAATGTAATCGATCCATTAAATATCAAAAAAAGCACCTCACAAAACTTGCGACAAGGCTTAACTTGGATCATTAACCGTGGCAGCAGTATGCGTCAGGTGATAGAGCGGCTGTGTGTATTTGTAGCCTCACTACCAATCCGGCATTTCATCTCCGAGGAAGTTATCCCAGAGAGAAGTAAAGCAAATGTATAAGTTCATCTCTGAATGTTTGTAAAGCATTCGCGCGTGAAGCTTTACAACCGATATATGGAGCGACTGCCTCTCTCTCTCCCTTCCTCTCCTGCTGCTACTTCAATCATGAAATCATGAAACTGATCAATGATCAGCTGATCGGCTTTTCTTTTTCTTTGTTTATCCCCTACTTTGCACCAGAAAGAGGAAACCAGCGGCTGAACAACAGCAGCACGTTTAAGCTTGATAAGCTGTTGTTACATTTTATTTAATATTACTTTCTACACCAGGATTCTTTTCTGCGTAGCTGACAGCTGGTAACTGTGCAGGGGCGGATCTAGCAAAGTTTAGCCAGGGGGGCCGATAGGGCATTAACAGGGAAAAGGGGGCACAAAGACATACTTTTCTTTCTTATTCTCATTTAAAATGTCTAGCGTTTAATAAATAATTATCTGAATCTTATAACCAAAGTTTTAATCTGATGTCAAATATATAGAAGTGCATTACTGTACATAGTAACTATTAAGTCTAATATACCCTAGTAAGCTATAGTACTTTTTCCTTTGGGAAGGTACCATCTGTGCAGTCTGCAATTCTGTTGAAGAAAGACGTTGAATCTATTTAATTATTCTTGAAAAATAATTGATTTCTGTGCATTTTTTTTCACACTGCATCAAATTAAAGTTGATTACGTCAATTAAGCATCATGAGGTGGAGGGTGGTTCCCTATTTTTATTTTTTTTTTTGCTGGCAGTTTTAGAGCCCTATAGTTAGGTTGCTTACTCTTTAAAATACCAGAATAGGAAGGATGGAGTAGGTTTAAGTTTATTAGATTGATCAGTATTGCTGAACTATGAAATATTTTGGGTGCAGTGTATTTTTTGCATACAGGTATAACAGAATAGCTTTAGTGTTTTTTTAACTTGAGTATGAACTTATACAAAAAGCAGCAAGATATTAAAAAAAAACAGTTTTATTGATTAAAACACACTATATCGGATTCATATCGGTATCGGCAGATATCCAAATTTATGATATCGGTATCGGACATGAAAAAGTGGTATCATGCCATCTCTATTCTCTGGTGGAGTACTGGGTGTATCTACTGGGCAGTTTGTGTTTGTAATCAAAGTGTCCCTCCATCCAGCTCGGATGACTGTAAGTAATGAGCTTATGCAACACAAAGCGGGTCACCTGATTCAATCCCTCCAGAACTCCACTATTGAACATTGTTCTTCTCACTGCACACCAGTACCCACATTCCCAGCTAAAGCCACTGATCTTCACCCTGTGGTAATGACCTACATATATCCCAGCGTAAACGCTCCTCATTCACACTCTGTTTTGTGTCTCTGAATAAAGGCCACATGAGGCTATTGTGCTTACGCTAGGTTGAGGAGAATCCCTCTGATTTCTTTCAGTGGGCAACTTCAAAGCATAGAGAGCCTTTACAAGGACTACATATTTTAGAGGATTTATGCATCTGTTCTTATAAATGTCAGATTTTTGGATTTTGGAGTAATTCCCAAAGAAAGATTTGTTCTGTATGCGTTTTTTGCTACTCCAAAGTGAATCTGGATATCAGTGCCATCTACAACACTTTTTTCCCCAGCAAGAGACATCTTCTTCTTATCTTATGTTGCTAAAGTTTGTGCATAATTTAATTTACTGAACTTACTCTGGGGTTTCCTGTCTTCTTGAATTTCTGTGCAATGGACTGGTAAGAAGACATGACGACAAACACCTGGATGCCCATGTTGAAGATGCTCATTGGAATCAAGTAGGACACGTAGTTTCTATGGACAGAGACACACACAGCAGGTTAAAAAAAGTGAAAATAGTATATATTTATCTTGCAAGCACTGTGCAGAAATTATGTTTGTAAATGGTACCTGTCTCCCTTGCTTAGGTCCAGTGTGCAGCAAGTCCTGAGGGGCTCGTAGTCGTACTCTCCCCAGCCAATGAGGGGCATGGCGGACCAGAAGGCAGTGAACAGCCACACAAACACAGCCAGAGTGATGGCACTGCTCCACTGCAGCTTTGTCCCTGGGAAGAACAATATTCTTTATGACTAGTTTAAACACCAGCAACACAATGAATGCATACTCAAGTAGGCTACTGATTTTGTTTCTGTTTTAAATGTCACACTGCTGCTAAGAAACAAATGTGCATTCTTAGCAAAACTAATATCTTAACTAGAGCTGCTTGTTTGCAACAGTTATAACAGAGTTAACAACAGTGTAAAAATTCCTGCACTAACTGTTCAAACCAAGGGACATTTGAGTTGAGTCATTTCCTCTTGCCCATGTACCCTGGTAATGATGTTTAAAAATAGGGTGTGGGACTTATTGTTAACACTCAAGCCTTCCAGGTTGCAGTTTTAGTACAGAGGTGTCAGCCTGTGTTATAGCAACAGTTCAGGTTGCTATTTATTTGCATATTCTCTCATTATTTTGTCTGTAGAAAATTTAAAGACAGCAGCATACTTGGCTCATATATGTGCACATTTGTGCAACACAGGAGAGGAAAGGTTGACTGCATTTGGTATCATCAGCCAGATATTGACTTACTGGTGCAGTACTGGTGATATCTGTCCCAGGCAACGGCAGCTACAAAGTGGATGCTGGCAAGAGCTGTCATGAAGCCCTGGAAACCATGAGTCTGGCATCCATCAGAGCCATAAGGCCAATACCTAAAGACAGAGGATGTATTCAAAGTTGACTGACACAAGAAACCCCTTAAGCACCAATTTTAGTAAAATACATAAACAAATCACTAGTATAACATTTAATCCATGAACTGGTGAACACTGAGAGCAATGTGTCTCATTTCCTGATTGCAGTTTGAATATGCTCTGTACTGACCCTCTTCACTGTACAGCCTTAATTGGACCACTCTGCATCGATTATACAGCTCTGTACAGATGATTCGTCACAACAGGTGGCCAGCAGTAGCCTATTGTCACCGGCATTATTTTCTCATTACATTTCATCCCACCCACATGCGGATGGACCTCGATGTCCATTATGAAAGGGGTGGTTACATCACTCACCTCAGAAAGCTGGAGAAAGCGGCGATCGTGGCGTTCATGGAGATGCCAATATCAGCCATCGCTAAACTGAATACTAGAAAATTGCTGGGAGTCCTCAGTTCTCTCACTTTGAGGAAAGCAAGCATTGTGACCGCATTTAGAAAGAAGCCCAGCAGACCTTTGGGGAAACACACACAATGCAAATCAGCGCGCACAGCGATGCTTACTGCGAAATAGCTCACACCTCAAGGCGAAGGAGAACACGCTCTAGTCATGCGTCACATTCATTTTTATTTTATTTTGTTTTTAGACCATAAGTAAGCATTATTTTGCAAGTTTACAGAGAAACGAGTCCGTGTCAGTGACCGGGAGGAGACATGTCCTGGCGTAGGTTAATGGCAAACACAGCAGGCAAAGTCCTCGTAGTATTTGGCTGAATTCCAAGACATAACTTACCCTCCACAAGCAGACAAGATCCCAGGGAAAACACATCAAACTCGGAGAAGCCCTCCGGTAAAGGGTACGAAGAAACCATCCTGAAGCCTGGTTTGACACACTAAAGTGCAGCTGTCACAGACTCCTCTCGTTCCGCTTGTTTACGATGCCCCTCGGTATGACCGAAGAGAGCCGGCTTTTAAAGGGGCATTTCACGTGAATGCTTGCAGTTTATTATGTAAAGCCTCTCTGTCGCCCCAATCCGCGCAGGAATGTCTTAATGAACGCGGAACGTAACCCTTAATGCGCATTTACGCGCCGCAACAATAAAGCCTTCTATTAATTGCACAAAAAGCCTTTGTGTTGTGGTGTCCCGGTGAGGATGCAGCGGCTGCTGAAGTTAAACGACGAGACTCGGGTTTGACCGAGTCCACAGACGTGTATATACACAGGTTTGCTTTATGGAGGCACAACAGGTGTTTGCAAACCAATGCCCCCCTGCCAATCAGAACCACACCTACATTCCCCATGCATCAGTGTTTACACTTAAAGCCTAAAAAGTACAACTGAAGCCACAATACTAAAAATACACAGTGATAAATGTCTGTGGACATTTGCTGTTATCTGCATTCATACACATGATTTAAAATTAAGATTAAGATTAAGACTACCATTTCCACACCAGTGCTTTGCAGCCTGTGTGTGCAATGTGTTGCAATTCAGTAAATCTTAACCAATTATTTATTGGAAGCACTCTACAGCAGAGCCATGCCAGTGCTGCTGTTCTGTATCTCTGTTTATAATTTTTTGTTCTTGTGTGCAAAGAATCAAAGATTTTGATCGACAGACTGACATCAAGTGGTTAAATCAGCTGTGCAAGGTGCCTGAAATGATAGAGGATAAAAACAAAAACTGGACACTTTTGGACCAGCATAAAAAACAAACAAACAATATAGCACACAGTGGGTTTGTGTGCTTCAAGACAAAAACTTGTGAACACTAACAGTCAAGTTCAGATTTTTCTTTATTGATCAACATTTGTGGAAATTACATGAAATCATGCTACTGTCCCTAGATTCTGTGGATTCCTTAGGTTTCAATATAGGGAGAGGGGACAGAGGTCTCTCCAAGTCTCATAAGGATCAAGAATCTGGATAAATTTAGATGTTAATGTAAAAAAAAAAGTGCTACTTACTGAAAAAACTCTTTCATAATGAAGTCCAAATGTGCAAGAGGTGTTATTATGCAAATGGCACTTTCTAAAAACAAAGTCTGTGTAGCTATGTAATGTATTAGACATATAGATTCCTTTTTAATCCTTTCACAATTGAGGGTGTTTATACACTACTTCTTTTGACCCCCATTGATAATAGTGTATAATAAAGCAAATGCTTTTTGCACATTAAGTATGAGATTGCATCTTAAAGAATGTCTCTGGTTCATACTTGTAAAGATGGCTTTACTGGCTTCTGTAAATGAGAATACTTGCTTGCCATACAATATGGAATATTTCTCCTTTCAGCACAGGGGAACGTGATCGCTCTGGTTGCTTAACAACTTTCACAGCCACAGAACAGACCTCTGCAATTCTTAAACCATATGTAACCTGCGAGTTGAAGGGATTTTAATTCAAAAGGTCTCAGAGGACAATGAACAAAGAAAAACACTATACTCATGGATGGATTCACAAATACTCTAAATTCTCACCCATATGCTTTTGCCCTGATTTGTGTGCATCTATTTAGAGTGTATTTATGTATTTTGTGTGTCCCATAATGAAAAATTATTTTTTATTTGATTTTATGCACACACTCAGTGTCTATCTATTTACAATCTATAGGGTTTGTTACTCTATCAAACCTTTAAAATCTAACTGCTCTGACCTGGCTATGACATAAAATATGCATTAAATTTGAAAAGGATGGTTGCCAAACACTCTAAAGACTTGTAATGCTTAGTTTCCAGTGCAATGAAAGCTTAGGGAATGCAGGGCAGGTGCCAACCAATGTGTAGTATTTACCTACAATGGAAAACAATTGGAGGTATTTACCTACTAGTGTGGGAATGAGTCCAAATAGGTCACTGAGGTGAAATCTAAAGGCCAGGAGGAGTCTCTTTCACTCAAACGTCCTTGGAAACACAGTATTTTTTCTTCTATTCTTTTATTATGTCAAATTGTGTCGGCACTACTTGGATCCCTGTTGATAGTTAGTTTATATATATAAATGTAGCTACATTGATGACATCACTGATGTGAGGGAAGTGATATATTCTGATGTGAATTTGTAGGAATTTATTTACCTAAACATGCATTTGAAAACCCCCGTTTTTGCTTCAATTCGCTTGTAAATAGAAGCAATAAAATATATTTGTGCTAAAATTATTAATTAATTTGAATTCTCCAGGTGAAAAAGATGCATAAATAATAGAACTTTGAATGAGGACTTTCCCTGCGCTCAGGTCCCGACGTAGGAGCCATAGGGTATGATATAGGGGCCACCTTGTGGCAAAACACGGTCCACTCCACTCCCAGATTAACAGTCACGGCAGGGCTCAAATAAACATGCTACATTTGAGGCAAAGAAACAAAAAAAAGCAAACATCACAGTGGATTATGACCATTTCGGAAGTGTTTTTCTGTGGTAATAAATAGGGACGTCTCTGCGCAGCCTATCCGATTCTGGGATGCAATACGCATCCAGATGAAACGAACGCCAGCCTTTTCGCTAATCCTTGTCTATCCTTTTTTATCTCGGGACTCATAGTAGTCTGATCACTATGGGGCAGCGAAGCGGTGGGACAGCGCCGTACGGATGACATTTCTGTAAATGAAAGAGAAAAAAAAAATAGTCTGATAGACTTCAGTGGGCGCAAAGTGGGCGCATGTAGGCAAATTGCGTATGCATAAAAGTTGGCCAAAATGTTCCTCGTCCTGCTGCTGGGGCTCTACGTGGCCACGGGTCAACTTTTTTCCCCAGTGAGCGCCTGCCCTTCGCAGTGCAGCTGCTTTTACCACAACCTGAGTGATGGATCAAAGGCGAGGTAAGTTGGATGCCCAAAGTGAAATGAATGTATTTTGTTTGGTATTTTTTTGTGTGTTTGTTTCTTTGTTTTGTTTTATTTGTTTTTTTGCACAGTGATGCATTTTGTCATCATATGAGGACAGATGTTTGCACAGAGGTGAACACTTGTACAAAAGATAATTCAGGGAGTGCATGCCGCTCCAATTTTATTTAATGCAGGATTATCTTCCAAAGGCACTTTCAGGCTTTCATCTATGCTTTTTTGTGTTTTGGTGGGACGGGGAATAAGTGTTTTTTTAAATCATTATCCACATGACTTTTGCTGCTTGTGAACTTTTGAATACACATTTGTTGTCATTAATTGTCGATTTAGTTTAAAGTTTTAGTGATTCGTAAACTATGCACAAATGCAATTTGTGAAGTTAACACAAATATTTCCGACTTTTAGGAGCGTGATTTGCAATGATCCCGATATATCTCTCGTGCCTGTCGGGTTTCCTGTTGACACCTCCAAGCTGCGGATTGAGAAGACATCCATCCAGCGGATACCCAGCGAAGCCTTCAACTACCTCTCCAGTTTGGAATTCTTGTGGATGTCTTTTAACACGCTGTCCGCCTTGAACCCGGACAGTTTCCGGGGGCTTTATAACCTGGAAGAGCTTCGGCTGGACGGGAATGCCCTTACCGCCTTTCCTTGGGAATCTCTCATGGATATGCCCAGCCTCAGACTTCTCGATTTGCACAACAACCAGCTCACCTCCCTGCCCGCGGAGGCCACCACTTACATCAAGAACCTCACCTACTTGGATCTGTCCAGCAACAGTCTGGTGACCCTACCTGCAGAAGTGCTGTCCAATTGGCTGGCTGCAAAGCCTGCACAAGGGCCAGACAGCTCCAAGATGATACTCGGTGAGAGGCAGTGCTCATCCTGACATCAAGTCTCCCTTTAAAGTGCATTTTAGGTGCATTGTTTTCTTCTGAGCTTAATGAAAGTGTGCTAACTTTTTGCAAAGCAACTTTTTTTTTTTTTTAAAAAAAAGCAGCTTAAGATTTCATAAGCAATATATAATTTGACAACAACAGCTGTTTCTGGTGAGTAAAAACATGTCGTATAAAAAGTAACATTGGAAAAAAGTAACATTTTGTCTTTAATATGAAGGTAACAATTTCAATAATAATTTTCTAAGCTCTTATAATATTTAATATTTCATCTTTATATTCCATATTTAATAACTAATATTAACAGGCCGTATATTGACATCTATTACATGCGTTTTAGAGTGTAACATAGCAGATTTAAGATGCTTTTGTTTAAAACATCATCTCTTAAGTTACATTTTATTAAAGAAAAGAAAAAAGAAAAACACAGTTCAAATTGTATATATATAAAAATACACACAACTCTATGCACTCTGTTGGTGGAGGTGTTGTGATCAATAACGAGTCTTCTTATAATCTTCTTGTAGGGAGTGTGTAATGACAGCAAAGTTTGATCTTGATCTCTAGTCAATTTTCACCATCATCATCATCATTATCGTCATCATCACAATCATTGCCATAGTCATGGCCATGATGTAGTTTATGAATTAAATATTAATCCTCTTACAGGATTAACATCCCTACATCCACACCAACCATCTGTAGGCTGGTCTATCACTTTGTCCACAGCTGGACACTTGTCTTCCTCTGTAGCCTCACTTGTACCCTTGCCCTTAGGTCTCCATGACAACCCCTGGGTGTGTGACTGCCGGCTCTATGACCTGGTCCAGTTCCAGAAGTCTCCGACTCTTTCAGTGGCTTTCATCGACACGAGACTTCGATGTTCAGCTCCGGAGAGTGTGTCGGGGGTCCTGTTCAGCGACGCAGAGCTTCGCCGCTGTCAGCTTCCACGTATCCACACAGCTGTGGCACGAGTAAGGAGCGCTGTTGGAAACAATGTGCTGCTCCGGTGTGGGACCATTGGCGTCCCCATCCCAGACTTGACATGGCGCAGGGCAGATGGACGAGCCCTCAATGGAACAGGTGAGTCAGCAGCTATTTGGATAGATGAGATAAGATGATTTTGTGTGCTCTGTATTGCTGCTGTTAATTAAATAGAGAGCCACGAGTGGAGTTAGTAAGTCTGAGTGACATCTATTGCCAACACAGTGAGTTACGCAACACTGATCATCAATGCAACATTGTGTAATCACCAGCTTGTTGTCTCTTTTCACATTTGTGAAAGGGGACGTCTCGGGTGTCAAATTACTTTTTTTTTTTAATGGTTCTTCTGTTGTTATTTTATAACTGTGCTATTCCATCTCTGCCACTACAGTCCAGCAGGAAACCTCAAAGGAAGGAATCACCTGGTCAATCCTCAGTGTACCAGCAGTGTCCTACCGTGATTCAGGGAAATTCATCTGCAAGGCCACTAACTACGCAGGGAATGCAGAGGCTGTCATTTCCCTCGTTGTCTCCAACTCGCCAAAACCAGAGGGGAACCAAACCAACAATGAGAAGAAGCCCAAAATCAAAAAACCAAACCAAATGGGCAAAGCTGCCTACCAGGAGAAACTGGTGGCCAGATATGTGGCTCCAACCTCTGCCCCTTCATCCTTGCCGGCCCTGGATCCTGGCCTCCTGCCTGGTGTTGGGCCTGATCCTGGACTATCCAGTTACAGCCTGGCTGAAGGAGCCACCCCAGGGCCTGCCACCTCCCCCAACTCAGATGCACTGCTGGATCTGGAAAAGACTAATCTAAGTAACTTGGCAGCTAACGCCTCATCATTACAGCAGGACCCGGACAGAGTGGTCCGCTCAGTAAAAGTTGTAGGGGACACAGACAATACAATTTCTCTAAACTGGAGAGCCCCTAAAGCCAAAAACACAACAGCATTTAGTGTGCTCTATGCGGTGTTTGGAGAGAGGGACATGAGAAAGATCAATGTTGGAGCTGGGCAGAACCGTGTAACCATCGATGGTTTGGTGCCCAGGACCAAGTACATTGCTTGTGTGTGTGTGAAGGGTCTGATCCCCAAGAAGGAGCAGTGTGTCATATTCTCCACTGATGAAGCAGCTAGTGCTACTGGTACCCAGAAGCTGATTAATGTTATTGTGATCACAGTGGCCTGTATCATTGCAGTCCCGCTCACTGTTATTGTATGCTGCGGGGCGCTGAAGAGACGCATTCAGAAGTACTGGGGAAAGAAATCAAAAGACATCCAAGATTCATATGTTACATTTGAAACACTCTCACCCGGCACAAAGGCCAAAGGGCTCGAGGGTGAGTATTTGAACAGACTGAATCCCGAGGAGTCCAACCGGCTGCTGTCAGCCCGCTCCAGCCTGGACTCCGAGGCCACAGCTAAAATAGAGGGACAGCCTAATGAGTACTTCTGCTGACGTCATGCTCCAGCTCCGGCTCCTGTTCCACGTCATCTTCCCCGCACTCACCCACACTCACGTCACAGTCCAAACCCCAAAACTCGTTCACATGCCCACCGGCACCCTCATCCCCATCTCAACCCACATCCGTATGCCCAGCATTACCCATATTCTCCCCGTCAGCAGCATCCTGACGTCAGTCCCCCTCTAACGCGCTCCCATACGCCCCCTCCCATCCCTCCTCGCTGGATAATGCCACCAACTCCACCGCCACAGAGAGCCAACTTCTATCAACGGACTTTTGCACGCTGCACAATAATGGAAATATCAGTTTAAAGAATTTGGGCAACTGGGTAGATCTGGAAAATTTCATGTTTCTTGCAGATGTAGTGAAACTCACTGGACTGTTACACACATATTCATCCATTAATATTAAACTCCAAGCGCGCTCATGCTTTTATGTCTAAAAGAATGTTTTTTATCACTAAGCCTGTAAGAAGAAAACATGATGCATGAAGTGAAAGAGCATAGCAAACACTGTAAAGTTTTATTCCACCTCACGTGCACGGCCCAGCGAAGAAACCTCTCCAATCCAATTTAATTGAAAGGGAACTCAATGGTAGACAATCCATTGTTTATATCATATATGTATGTGTATGATTTGTAAATACTTTATCAGATTATGTACACATATACATATGCAATTAATTCTGTGCCTCTGTATATATCTGTCATATGTTCTGAGAGAAGATATACACATAGGCATGGTTCATTTCTCTGGTGAATGGAGAGAAGCTGGAGCTGGAGAGAAGTACTGAAGGACTGAACTATGACACAATGTAAATAGGGTGGAGATGGTGCAAAAAGGAAACGTTAAATCATTTATATTCCCCCAATTAGACACATACTTAAAATCTTCCCATGTGACTATTTTGTGCCACCTAGAGGCATCATTACCCCATTAAAAGTAGATCTGTTCGTTCCAATGATACTTACCTATTTGAATATAGTTAAATAAACTTTTATACTGCATGTACTTGAGTGATATTGTGTGTTCTTATAACTCTACTTCACCTCACAATAATAATCAGTTTCCATACTTTGGTTCTGAGATACTATGGGTCTCTGTAATCTTCACTTACAAAGTTCATTAAAAATTATTTTGTTTATATATCTGCATATTTAATCTCTTGGACAATATCAAACTTTGAACTATTTATAGTTTACTAATCAGAATATAGAGCTATCTAAAAGGCACAGTGGGTCAGACCTAGTGACACTAAGTGTTAATCGTGCGTGTCTTGCCCAAGATTTAAATGTCACTTCTTCCTGCACTGTACGTCAGAGATTAAGCTTAATAGGCTTCTCTGGTCTGCCGCACTCGGCATGTCTGGAGCACGAATGTAGCCCTCAAATTCAGGATCTTTTTTTTTTGTGGACTATGGACATAATTTGTTACCTGCTTGTTATAGTTTTAATAAACATTCAGGCTTGTGAAACTTTTTCTCAGTGTTTACGCGGGTGCAGCTGTGTAGAAGACCGACATGGAAGGTAAGAACTGGTTTCAAGTAGTTCAGTCCTCCTGGGGATTTCTGTTTTATTTATATGCCTCTAGAAGGTGACATTTGTTTCTTGACGGATCCTAGCAGTCAGTCAGGTATTACAGTAAATAATAACATCATCATATAAACTCTTTCTTTTAATCTTAGGTCATTAATATGTATGGAGGAGAGCGCATTTGGGGCTATACCACAAGACCTTCCACATGAGTTGACAAAAATACGAATTGAAAAGTCTCAGTTTACTGAAATACCCAGAGGAGCTTTCTCAAAAACGTTGACGTTGGAGAACTTGTGGTTGAACTTTAATGAAATCACACTGATAAACTCAAAGGGTCTGGAGGGTTTGAGGAACTTAACCGAGCTCCGTTTGCAAGGCAATAAGCTACGTTCAGTACCATGGACAGCATTCGAGGACACGCCGGTTCTCAAGATCCTGGATCTGAAGCACAACCAGCTGGACGTCCTACCGGAGCATGCGTTAAGGTTTTTGCCAGGTCTGACTTACTTAGACTTATCCTTCAATCGTCTTATGGTGATATCGAAGGAGGTCTTCCAAAACTGGCCTCTCTACCAAAAATTACAGAACATGGAGGAGCGGGAGGCGACAACATCTGGGCCAAACGTCGTCCTGGCACTCCACGACAATGCCTGGCTCTGCGATTGTCGCCTAAAGGGCTTCGTGGAGTTCATCAGGTCTCTGAGCCCTCCGATTATATTGATGAACTCCTACTTGACCTGCTCAGGGCCGGACTTTAGGGCGGGCAAGTTCTTCCATGAGATAGAGCTACAGGCATGCATGAAGCCTGAAGTCAGCACCCCATCAGCCAACATCAGCCTGCCACAGGGCGCCAACGTCACCCTGCGATGTATCGCCAAAGCAAGGCCTGACCCTTCAGTGTGGTGGACATATGGTCTGAAGATAATCAGAGGATTTCATGGTAAGAGTGTGGTGACCATAGTGTGTAATAAACTACAGCACATCTGATACTTAAACACACATTTCAATGGTGGCGCAGCAAACCTTTATTAAGAGCAAGAGGATTAAAACTCAATGTATGCACATGGTGATGTAAGCACCACCAATCTCCCAATCTGCACAACACTGTCAGTGTTGATTAAGAGTGTACACTGCTGTCCATCTTGTTTGGCCACCTTGTAATTAAATAAACCGGCGTGTCATTAGACTTAACTTGCTGAGAGGAGTGCTTACTGCAGATCAATCAAACAACATGCAAACTCATAATAACCACAATACTGCCCCCATTGCTGTCCCACCACTATTTCTGCTGCTGACATTCATCTGTCTTAGCTCATAAGAAATATTCTCAAACATTATAACAATACTGAGCCATGCAAGTATAATAACTACAGTCTACAATGTGAGATCACAGGAGAATAATTATTATTTTAAACCTTCGATTTTGTGGATGAAGCGAAACAAACCATCCTCTATTTTGACTTAAGAACAACAAATTGCTCAAGTTGCAAAATTCTTGGGATTTGTTATAAATGAAATATAGTGCAGGTTACAGTAAATTGAACTTTTTAGCTCCTATCAGGGTAATGATCACTTCAGCTTAGGTTTGCACAATATATAATGAGCATTAGTTGTTATTTTACTGTTTAACTGTTTAAAACAAAAAAACAGACAATGTGTATCTATGACTGTCTAATAAAGTACAGGACTCTTTAATTCTATGCATGTTTGTGGAAGATCAGTTGCAGGGCACTTTTGTTTAGTCTTTTTATTTAATTTTATTTAATGTTATTTAATGTTTAAAAATATTTTACTCTGTAAGCTTGCTGTTCCCATAAAATAACAGCCCTAATGTCATCCCAGAATCTCAAGAAAGAGTGAATGATGACACCATCAGATCCCTCCTGGTGATCCCCTCTGTCCATGCAGCTGATCATGGTGTCTACACTTGCACCGCTGTCAACTTCATTGGAAACTCCTCTGTCAGCATCTTTCTAGAGGTGCGCTCTGCAGGAAGCTCCCAGTCTTCACTCCTCCCAGCTGTACCGCGGGCTGGTGATGAAAATGTCTACATCGACATCCACATCGCCAAGCAAACAATACGGGGTATCTCCATTGAGTGGTTCGCTGCCCTAGAACGCCCCACTGAAACCTGGTTCACGATCCACTTTGGTCGTGCAGATGCTGATAAAAAAGAAATAATCTACATTGGACCTGGGATTAATTCTTACTCCATCTCTGACCTGATGCCTGCAACTAAATATGAAATCTGTGTAACCCTCAAGAATCACGCACCACGCCCAGAACAGTGCATCATCTTTGTAACAGGAAGTGACATCACTGAGATGGAGCAGAGGGAGAAGCTGATACATATAATAGTGATAGTTTTAGCCATGGTGCTGGCAGTGCCTGTAGGCATGTATGCATGCACCACTGACACCAGGTTGGCCTGTTTGGATGGTATAATGGAGAGCTGGAAGAACCGAAGGAGAGACAGAGGCTCAGCAGGAGGCATGGAAAGGGAGAGGCAGGGTACCTTCGACAGTCTGCAGGCCGCCAGTGATGAGGGCCTGGTTAATAAAGGTTCCAGTGAAGACAGGAAGGTGAGGAGGAGGTCAGAGGACAGACTGAATAAGGCCAAAGCTGACCACAGCAGACTCACAGCTGAACTATATTAAAAAACCATCAGTTAAAACAACAACAGAAAACATGGCAGTGACATTGTTATAGAACAATGTCTTACTTTCTATTTTTGGAATAAATAATAGAAATACTAGCTCTACTATGCTGTGAAAAAGTCTTGAGCCACCCCTTATTTGTCGATATTTGGCTTGTTTTCTGAATGTTTTTTTTTTGTGTGTTAAGCCACCTAACACTGACCTGAATCATTCATGCATAATAAAGACACTTGTGCCTACACATAACAAACAACTTAGTAACAAACCTATTTTAAATTCTATCTTTAGGCACTTTGTTTTGAACAGCCTGTTGCAAAAACAGATAATTTCCCCCATTTCTTTAGTCTATGAAAAAAGCCAAAGCTAACACAGTTGGATAGACATAAAAAATATGTTTGCTTCAACAAGGTGAGTTTCAAAGTGCTATTAGTTGAAAACGTCTAGGCATGCTGTGCAGTATATGCTTTAAAAGAAAAGACCTGACAAATGCCCTGAGTGAGGCATTGGGCCCTTCAGTCGATCCATCGACTCTAGAAGAGTAGAATAATCAGCAGATCTAGAGCCCAGACCTCAAATTGTTGAAGAGAACAGAGAACAGAACAAAAGGCAGCCAACATCCAAAGAAGACTGCTAAATTAAATTACAAGAAAGCTTGTCTCATAGAGTTAAGGATGCATTGAAAAGCACAAGTTTTTATTGACTTTAAAGCTTGTTAGAACTCTACAAACTGTTTTTGTCTTATATACTATAATTCTAAAAATTTGGGCACGTTTTAAAAAAATTGTTGCACTTTTTTCCCTTTATCCTAGCAAAACATACAGAAATGAGGAGTGGCTCAAGATCCAGTGCTGTTAGGCTTATATTACTACAATATTCAGGGGAATGATCATATTTTCTGCCTTGCTTTTAATCTCATCTCTTCCTCTGTTCTAGGCCGAGGAGGTTGTTGCAAAGATGTGAATGATGGCCGTTATGTCAAGGATTTGCACCAGGGTAGAGGCTGTGCTGAAGTTGATTTTTTTTCAGACTGAAGTATAATACATCTCTCTTGTTATTACAATGCAGCATTTTTAACTATCAGTAATAATTCATTTTATAAGTATTTGTACTTAAAAAAAACAGAAAAGAAAAAGCCTTTGCCATTGATTTCAATCAGAATGATATCAAATGACTTTCTAAAGAAGACTTTTTTCCAGCTTCTCCAATGATGGATATTAGCTTCTTTATCAACTATTATGTGTTAGCACTTAAGCATTATTCTATGGATTTACATGTGTGTTAATTTTACCTCATTTTCTTCTTGTCATGTCAAAAGTGTAAGTTAGGATGGATTTTTAATTAGAAAAACAGATGGTTATTATATGAAAAAACCTCGCACCTTGTAAATAGAAAATGTTCTAGTTACATTTTTTGTGTGGTAGTGCATATAAACCTCAACATGTTTCATGTGTGCAGACTAAAGTGGTTGTTTTACTACATTTTCTATAAATTCTACAAGGTTTTACATCAAGCAAGCACATATGCAGAATTAGTGTCAGTTACTATAGATTCGTACAAATACCCATATAAAAATATATATTTTGCTTTAAAACATACTGTCTGTTGTCAGTGTCTGTTTATCCCTTTTTATAGTTCTGCTAAAGCAGGATTATAAGGGGAAAATCTCAAAGTAGGGAGAAAACCTTACCTTTGAATCTGATTTTATGTAGTTTGTGGCTACCAGAAAACACAAGTTTATTTGAATCTAATTGTTTTATTATTTAAGTTGTCTGTTCCATATTTGAAGATAGGCATAGCCTTAAAGATCAAATTGCAAAAATTGCGCTTGATTGCATCTGAGTGAAATTCATTCATAGGATTAGGTTATGCAGAGAGGAAGTTTCCTTTTTGTGGATAATGTGCTGAAAGGCATTCAGTTTAGTTCTATTCATTGATTTCTTTAAATCCTATCTCAGTCACTGTACATGTACGTCACAGTTCCCGTTTTTTTTCTGTACACACGCAACACAGCAACGACGTATCACACATGATCTGCACTGACCAACCCGCACAGATGGCACATCAGATATCCTTTGGCCAATGGCATTGTTCATTTGACATAATACCCAAACACTGGCATCCTCTCCAATATCCCCTCCTGCCGTCACTTTATGATCAGATCACACAAACCCTCTCCTCCAACTCCATGTGTTGTCCCCTGTGACGCAAGAAGATCAGTTCATCTCTGACGAGGCTTGCACGTATTCACTTAAGATCAGGGTTTTAAATGACTGGCTGAGATTGGCAGCTCTCATTTTCTGGAGCACAGATACATCTGCTTTCTTTCTTGTTCCGATGTGTTTATATGATTTGTGGGTGGGGGATTGATGCTGCTTTTTGTTGTAATCCTTTTCCACTGCCCATGACACAATGCAATGTAGAATTCTATAAACACACAATTTCAGCTACTTCACCACAGAACAGCACAAGATTTTATCTTATTTTTCCCCACTTGCCCTAATGTTGCCTAAAGCAGTGCATTATTATTACTGACCTCGGCAGTAGCAACATAAATAAAAGAAACGTTAACCCTCTACACAAAAGCCTTTTTTTTCTTTTTAGTAAGGAAAACTAACATTTCATTTACCTTTTAAAACTTTTGTTGCTGCAAACATATTGTGGGTGCTTTGAACCTTTCATGCTTTCTTTCACTCTAAAGCATCAATGCTCTTTGCAACTTTCCACTCTGTAATCCTCTGTCAAATAGCCCAGTAATCCTGGCTGCCTCTTACATGTCATAATGCATGATCATTTGGGCTTCTCCTCATATTCCCCCATTTCACTCCAGAGCATTAACAGCTTGCAACATTGGAAAAAAAAGGGGGAAAAAATGTGAGTTTGGATCCTCAAAAAACTTGTGTCCTGACCTGCAAAAAAAAAGCGCATCACATTTTTACAGTGAAACCGTTTCTGTATGCGGATTTTCTTTTATTATAGTTTTGTCTCCATCGTACTGGAGGCATAAGCACGTCAAATGTGTCAGCTGAGGTTGCAAAATGTTCAGTTTCAGTCACACACATCTTGCCGGTTCAAACTAGATCAGGGCAGATGGACTTTGCGTTTTAGGCCGCTATGCAATATTGTGCAAAGATGAACAAGTTGTTTTTTTGGATTAGAGAGGGTAATCTGCAAATTTCATGTTTTATGTAACTTTGGAATAGTGTGCATGTTTGGCTGATGTCTACACAAATACCCAGAGATTGGTTTAGTGTAACTTCATAATTAGTAGTGCTGACATTGACATTGAATCTGAGCAGAGCAAAAGGGCTTGTATCAGCATAATACAGTATATTACATATTTGCAGAGTACAAATACTTTGTTACTGCACTTAAGTAGAATTTATCTGAGTAGTTTTTTAATGGAAACTTTTTTACTTTCAGCCCTACGCTTACATTTTAACTCGTTACTTTTGATTTAACATTTGAGGGGAGTTATAATTTCATGTCATTGTGGGCCTTCAAACATCAAACCGATTTGAGCATTTAAGCAGTAACACATTAAAGGCAATCATGTGTATTAATCACCAGGAGATGTTGGGCAAAAGAGATGAAAGACGCAAAAAAAAATGTGTGCCACAGTCTGGGGTTAAAGTGAGCCAGTGATTTAAAAAAAGTTGTTTGTTTTCTGGGTTTTTTGGCGTCGGAACGACTGCAGGTGTCCACAGGTAAGCTGTGGTAGCGGTACTTCAGCACACAGAAGAAGAGTGACCATAAAGGGAGTTATATTTTGTGGCAGGTAATTTCAAATGCAGCCTTTCTATCAGCTTAACAAACATCAGCAAACATACAAACTGTTTGTGTGTGACATTATTAATTTTTATATTATGCAAAATAAAATGAGGCGGGCTGACTGTGTTACTTAAAGGTTGCATGAAAATAGTCTGCAGTTTAGTGCAGGATTAACTGGTTAGTTTCCTGTACTGTGATGGATTTAAAGTGTGTGTGACTGGTGCACAGTGAGTGTGGTGCTCATGGTCAAGTTAAGTTACATAAAGAGTACTAGAGATTAATATGAACTTTAGATGATAATGCTTAGATTCATTCATCAAATTCAAGCTGCATACCAGCTGCATAGGGTGTAATATAAAGCCAGCATAAACAGTGTACTGTCAGTGTAGACGATGGAAATGAGCCAGGACAACTCATGAAACACCTGCTCACACCTGGTTGAATTCAGTTGTGTACATCCTCAAAGAGCAGCAGGTCAGCTAATCACAGCCTGTACATTGAGAAAATCTACTGAAACACTCAGAAATTATTGTGAGCTGTGATTCTTTTTCCTCATACTGAGCCATTACAGCTGATTTTAGGGTCCCCCCACCTGCTGAATCCCACTTTAAACCCTGACTGTGTTCAATTGATCATCATGTGATTAACAGAAAATAGAGCTATTTTTTAATATTTTCCTTTTTTTCCCCTGCTCATGTTCACCTTAACGGATTCAAGCAGAGTATGTTTATTAGAATTAATATTTAGACTGAAATAAAGTTTGTATTCATATCTACTAATTTAATTGAATTATTACATGAATAAGGCACGAGGTCCAGTTAGCTTTCCATAAAAACAGGTCTCGGAGTTACTTTCTAACTTTGAGTATATTTCTGAGGCAGTATTTTTTTACTTTTAATTGAGTATAGAAGTTGAATCAGTACTTCAACTTTTACTGGAGTATTTTTCAACACTACTGTCTGTACTAGTGTCTGCACAGGATGTCTGTACTTTTGCCACCTCTGCATATTTGCAGAACATCTGGTTTAATGAAAAAAAAAAACCAAACAAACAGCACATGTGTAATATTGTTGTGTAAGGGCTTCTTCAAGCATCTCATTTTAATTCCTGTTGTTCATATTTTCATCGTGCTCCAAGACTATTAGTGCTCGAACTATGGCAATATCGCAACAAAAGCTGCAACATGAACATTTGCAAAGTTGAGAATAGCATTTTGAAGTATTTTTAAACACCTTCTTTGTGTTTCACCTCAGGGACAGTAGTTTAAGCAGCTTCTACTGTTACCAGAAAGTGGCAGTAGAGTACGGTTTGCAAGCTCATTAAGACGGCATTTGTCTTAAATTAATGACATCAAAGCTGTGTTTAAGTTTGTGTCAGTGCCTTCAAGGCTACTTTGGACAGGCACACCCGGTAGTGATGATACATGTCACATTAACTATGTTGCAGTCTGGATGCCTTAACAGTTAAATCAGTACGTTTATAAATACGTCAATAAGTACCTTTTCAAATTTTACAGTTCATTGAAAAGTTAAATTTGCTGGTGGAGAAGGGGAGATACTCTACTCTAAAGTAACTCTAAATAATTGTAACCTAAATAAAGTAATCTCATCTTGCAAACTAACAAGTTAATAGAGCTGTATGTATAACATACAGCTTATAATTTGATAATATAGCTTAGGGAGAACTTTAATGTTGCTGCTTGTGTTGTTACTTTATTTAAGTAAAACTGCCTTTATTTGGAAAAACAATGTGCTTTTATTAGCAGTAAATTACCAAAACCTGCCACATAGAAAACAGAAGAAAGAAACATCTAGAAAATAAACATATGGCAGTTGCTACAAAACAGTGATCCAAACAGTACAGCACACCTGCAAAGTCGGATTAAAGGCCCTTCTTATGTGATCACTTGGTCTCCTTCGCCTGGGCTGATCTTGTCATAGAGTTCAAGTGTCATGAAATCTCTTGTAAGGAGCTTGGATAGATCCTAAACAAACAGTCTCATTTGTTGAATTCTGAATGACTTCATTTCCAAAACCAGGTTTCAGGAATTTAAATTTGGTGTGTCACCACATAAATAAGAGGGATCTAACTGTTTCAGAGTCATACAAAAGCCAAAGGGTGTGAACTTAAAACATGGTTTGAATAATGACAAACATACCAGGAATGTTTTTCTGTTTTAATAAAAATTGTGTTATTGATTTACAAGGAATGAAGCTCTTTGTTGTTTCAGTATATTTCAACAACACACACACACACACACACACACACACACACACACACACACACACACACACACACACACACGAGCATCAGTCTACCAAACAATCCCACCTTCAGGTTCATTTGCTGGCTGCTCTGGAGCTTTTTATCATCACACAGGACTTAATGAAACTCTGTCTGATTGTCTGTCCTTTCTAAGTTCTTGAGATGGCCTCAGTTCTGAGAGTAAAAATAGAACCTTGATTAAATAGTGTTAATGATCTGACTTTCTCTTCTGCTCCAGCCTCATCTTGAGCTCTGAAACCAGCGCTTTGCTCACAGAGTCCTGCCTGGTCACTGCTGCCTTCTTTAGAGGTTTGGGTGCCACGGTTGCTGAGACTGTGGGAATGACCCACTGCCTCTCCACTGGGAAGCAAAAAGGTGGTGGAGGTGCACAGGGTGGCGGTGGCGGTGGCCACTGTCTCAAAATCCTGCCAGCATTGTTGTTGTGGTTGACATTCTCCACGATTACCTCTGGTTCCCGCTCTTCCTCTTTAACCTTAAATTTCTCTTCATTCCTTTCGGGTCTCTTTAAGGGGTTTTTAAAAAGCCAGGTGTGCTGCGTCTTCGGCCTTCTCTTCACACGGCGATTGGGCAGGATCCTGTTGGACTTTTTGTTGCGCATGAATGTTGCGGTGGAGATGAGGACTGTCACTATGATCATGAGACTAATGATACCAGCAAGTATACCTAGGATTTGCAAAGGCTTGTTTCTATTCTGCATTAAAAATGATCCCAAAGGCCCCCCATTGAGTTGAGTCTGTAAAAGAGCACAGGGAGAATTCACATCCATGGGAGTGAAGTCATACTCTGTCACACAAAAATATGTCCTGTGTACGTTTTGTTGCACTTTGTGCTTTCATCATTTAGTAAAAGATGTGTTAAATAAGTCTTTAGTGCCATTATAATTTACACAGACATAAAGAAAAACAAAGTCGCTAATTTATTAAATGTAGTTTCCTTGATGGACGATTGATTTTGTTGCCTGCTTCACTCATTTTTATTAAATTAGTATTCTGCTCTTTTTATATTTTGTCAAGACAAGATCAGAGAGGTTGTCTGGGAAACTAGCGGAGACCATTCAGCATCAGAATCATAATCAGCTTTATTGACCAAGTATGTGCACACATACAACGAACTGGGCTCCGGCTATTTCTCTGAAAATGAGAATTTATGTGTGACCCAAACACAAACGTAAATAATTTGCTTAATTTGGTCGTAGCGTCATATTAAATCAAAAATACAGGTAAAACAAATTGTATAGGATCATTTATATTGTGCTCCTGTACTCTTTTACAGACACAGCCTTGTTCTGAAATAAAATCCTCTGGACACGGATTGCTACAAATTCTTGGTACCACATACTAATAACAATAGTATTGCTGTGCTGATGAGCTCAAGGCGAGCTTCCTTTATGGCATAGGCCTCCTTATAATCTTTCTGATCTTGCCCTGAGGTTGCACACGTAACTTTTTCAAAGAGCTGCAGTACATAACAGTTGAAATGAAGACCGTCAGTGAAATGGCAAAGCTGACAATGGTCAAACAAATCCCAAACACTGTCCCTGGACGTTTCCTTAGGCCCATGAAGTATGAGAAAAATCTGGATTTGATCTGTAAACATGACAATTGCATTTGTGTGAGATTCAGTTTTGTATATCACTATACATTCTCAAATTAAAATATTATGGTATCGTACTTTGTATAGTGTTTCAAATTTGATGAATGTGCATAAAAATAATAATAAACTGTGGACCTTCTGTTTGATATCATGCTGTTAACATCGCAACTGTGCAGGATGATTTATACAATGTTGATGGATAAAAAACTGGTATCTTAGTGGATTTATCGTGAAGGCCTCACATAGATTTCATTGTCATATTGCTGGTCTTTTGCTTTGTTTCAACTTACAGCTTCAGTGATGTCAATCTTGACGACGGCGGTGGTGGTGAGGGATGGATGGCCTCGGTCACGGGCCTGCACCACCAGTGACCAGGTGCAGTCTCTCTTCTTGGTGATGTTCTGAATGATGGCCATTGACTTGATGTAGGACTTCAGCATGATCTCGCCTGTGTCAGCGTTAATGTCAAAGATATTGTTTTCTGGCTCAGCTTTCATGATGGCATACTCGATAACGTTGTTGGGGACCTCTGCATCATCATCCACAGCCTGCAGACAGTACGGGTACTGAAAATATTCACTTTTACCAAGTTTCATTTCGTTTAAAGAGAGCTGTATACCTCTATTTTCACTGGAGCTCCAATCACCATGGTCTTCTCAAGGAAGTTATCATAGAAAGCAGGAGAGTGGTCATTCAAGTCCAACACAGTCACAAAGACTTCAGCCAGGTTGTATTTCCCCTCTGTGTCCTCTGCCTTCACATAGAAGTTATACTTGGACCTCACCTCAGCATCCAGGCTTGCCCACGGCTGTGTGTAGATGATCCCAGAGTCAGGTTTGATCAGGAACCTGTGTACAGTGATGAGTCTTCTGTAAACTGACTTCTTTGGACAATGGATATCAAGACACCATGCACCATGAACATTTTATACGTATTTGTTATTGTAGATTATATGATACTTTTTTTCCCCTAAACAATTAGTCATCTGTTTTAAGCACTTGGATTGCACTTCTTGCTAAATCTTGGCACTGATTTTGTCACACAGACTGGGAGTTTTGGAGTTTTGAAATATAATTGTGATGTAGGCTGCTAATACCCCAACCTCAAATCTTTAGAGTGTCATTTAGGTCCAGAAAAAACCTACCTCATTTTTAAATAAGCTAACACAAAATAAATCTTATTACTTCTAGAAGCCAGATTGTTTTCGTCAGCTGGTCCTGTAACTTTATAAACACATACATTTGGTGCATTATGAAGTGATTGTTATTCAATGGATTTTGTGATTAAGATCTTTTATAGAGTATGCAGCAACAGCAAGTCTTAGCATGGCTAGCTTAACGTTGTATAAAGACTGGAACTAGTTGAAGTCGTGCAGATGTTTTTCAGAGTCTTGTCTCACTGAAAGGTTGCCCTAACTTCTCGTAAATCCAAAAATTTTCATTAAATTGAACCAACAAGATAAAACAAGTTTGAAAGGTGACTTCAGAGGTGTTAGTGAGCGAGGTCAAACTCTGGTTCTCGAACTCTCGGGGTAGGCTCAACTGATGGAGCACAGAACCACTCCTGATGAGGTGAGGACAACCAGGTGAAAAATATGAAATTTAAATAAGAAGAATACTTTTTGGGGGAAACATAAACAAGCAGGATGCTGTTATGGAGACCTTCATATTACTAAACTTCAACCTATAGTGCCAGATTTTCTTTAATTATGCGATGCTGGAGAGACAAGATACAGTAAAAGATACAGATTGTTTCACAAACTGACTTGTTTAGCTGTCCTACAAGGTTCCAGCACAAGTTAGTCAGAAGCAAAGAGCAGTCTATTTTCTCCTCCAATCCCATTAAAGGATTATCGCAGACCGAGGGCGGGCAGGCAAAAGGACTGTCTGCTCTTGTGTACACTTAAGCGCTCAACCAAAGAGTGTAAAACATTGTGAAGTCTGCAATATGAACGGCTTTATTCTTTCAGATGTAGAGCCAAAGCATGTGGTCATACATTGCTTCATAACCATTTTAAAATCAAAGCAGTAATTTTGAGAATAATCTGAGGTGACACAGTTTCAAAATCAGTTTGACTAAACAAGCACGCACTAAGCTAAATCTCTCTCCTCTGCTTATTTTGGAAATCCTTGTCCTTGATGCCTTGATGTGACATCACATATCTCTTCTAATTTATTGCTACAGAGGGGTGTAAAAATACTTTCCCCTTGCATTTGAACAACCAAAGTAGATGGTAACCTCATTCCTACCAGCATGTGCCTGTGGGTTTGTGTTGCAGCTGAACAGACAGTTAACATAAATATAAACCCAAAAAATAAAAGAGTTTTTTAAGAGCAACAAAAGATCCCAATGGCAAGATGTGTCTGTATTTGAAGTGCGAGAAAATGCAAGCTGTGGATATACAGTACTCTGTATTATCAGAAAGAACTGTGCAGTCTTGGATCTGGAGAATGGATTTCTTCTGGGAAACTAATAAAAAGTGGAAAAACACCAGTAAATCCTCTGGGCTACAGTGCTTAGGGGAAATAAAAAGAATCAAGTCGTGATATGAAAAACTAGTGTGCTCTTACATATCTGTCCAGCTTTCAGGCAGATGTGTTTTTGCTACAGTGCATGCTTACAGTGTAGTGCATTATTTGAAGAGATTTACTTTATTTGAGCTTCTTGACACAATTGTACATTTGATATGTTTATTCTATAAAATTTGGTTTCACTACTGGAACAAAACCCACACGTCAGTTGTTGAATTACTATATTTTACTATAGTATAGTAAAATATATTCTTTTTTCTTTGGACTATAAACATTAAAAATATTCTTCTGTGATCACTATCCAAAGACTGATGAATAGACACAGTGAAGGCGACAAAGTTATTTAGTTATTCTCTGAACATTTAAAACATATATTCTAAAATCAAATTAATGCTGTTTCTACACCAATGCATGTGAATATGTGGAGGTCCTTTGGAGATGTTGCAGAGATGTTACATCTGAATATGTGAATGGAACAACAGCATTTAAAAGGACTCATTTTTGCTGTGTCCTACTGGCAAAACATAAAGCTCATTTATTGCACTTACAGCTCAGCCCCTGATCCATAGATAGAGTACTTCACTTCACCCCAAGGTCCTGAGTCTGGGTCAAATGCCTGTAGACAGGTATCAATGAATCAATCAGTTAATAAAATCTTTATTTTGAACATAAAGTAAAGACAAAATCAGCAACAGCCGTCATATTCACATGGGAAAAACAAAAACAAAATTCACGTTCATACAGATTCATGTTATTGCAATATGTTTATGCACTGAGTAATTATACTTTCATTAATTATTTGTAATTATTTAATAATTATTTAACTACTCTAGTATTGTAACAGTATTATTTTTAATATGTCATTAGATACAAATATCCATCCATCCATCTATCCGAGCAACCACATGGCGAGAAGGAGGGTCCATGCAATTATCAATATTTAATGTACAACCTAATAGACATTTAGCACCCTGTCTCGTCCATATAGTGCTGTGTAAGTGAATGACAGAGCTATGATAGAGAATAAAATGTCATGTTTGGTTGTAGATTAAACACCTGTGTTCAACACAAGTTTTACAGCAGTGAGTTTAATATGTTGCAGTAACTATCCTACACTAAACTGTCATTCAAGCACGGGCAATGACCAGTACTGTATTAACTTGCCTTTTCTCTTTCCTCTTTCTTTTTAGTTTAAATCTGTTTTCGTCATGAATGAAGAAATATCTGCACTTTCATGTTGTCTGCCAGCATGGACTCAGTAACCTGAATGAAAATGTGCTCAACTGGAACATGATGTTTCAGGGGTCAGCTATAAAAAGACAGATTTTTGATGTCATAGGAACATCATCATCATCATCAGCTAATCTTTGTGTCTGTAGCTGCTGGGATGCCTGTTCACTGTCTCTATGCGTCCAAGGTCAGTTGTTGGCTGCTCTTCTATCTGATTGAAATTGCCTGGGATCAAGGCAACAAACCCCTGTGGTGTTCACGCAAGGTCAGGATTTAATGATGAGCCTCCCTGCTGCTTTGAGCCCCTGTGGGGCTGACAGGAACAGACAAGGGCAAAAGACGATGTGATCCAAGTATCAATCAAATCGTCATGTCCTTAAGTGTTCATTTTACTTCAGCACATATTTTGATGCTGTAGAGGCATGTGCTGCTAAGCATCAGAGAAAAAAAAACATGTCTGTGAATTTGGTGTTACACAACAAAATGAAAGTGATAGCCATCTGGCAGCTTACGTCGCCTAGCTTTTATCTACATGTTTTCACATATTATCCCAACCCTCCCCGCTCAAAAAGTCTACATTTAGGGGATTAATAGCCCTCTTGGGCATTTTGTTAAAATCAGCATTCCTCTTTAGCTCTGAGTGACGTACATTGGTGACGGCATGTATTTTTAGAGAGGATGAAGAGACTGGCTCACCGTGACTGTGACCACATTGGAGCCACCGGGTGAATTTTCTGGAATTCTGGCAATGTAGTAATCTGAAGAGAATTTGGGAGCGTTGTCATTGGTGTCCAGGAGATGAATGACGATGTCCGCTGTAGCGCTGAATTTCTCTGGTGTGTCAATCTCAACCGCAAGGAGCTGAGGAAGAAAAAAATATTAGAAATATACATGCATTTTTCAAACCTAATTTTAATCTACTGTAGTGCATGTATATTTTGGCATGCTAGTGTAAATAATTTACCTTGTATGTTAGAAAGTGGTATTTCTCATAGTCCATGGCAGCAGAGTCTTCTACTAAGATTGTGACTTGGGCCTCGTTGAGTACAGTCTGAGGGACAACTCGCAGCATTCTTCCTGGTCCAATCAGTCTCAGATTGAATTTAGCATTTGCACCCTGCAAAAGCAAAAACACATAATTATCATATCAGATCCATGCTTCATATGCATAGATTTGTTAATACATAATAATCTGCATTTGTTTCAGAGCTAAAAAAGCAGGCATGTAGTAAAGTCTCTTATAAAAGTGATGAGTAGCAGCAATAATATTCTGGCTCACACAGAAAGATACTGTCTGACGCTGCAACATTATTATCAGAAAATATATTTAGTGAAAATCAGTCATATGGCTCATAAAGTACACAGAGCTGAAAACACAAAGACACTTGCGTAAGCTGACAAATGGCACAGAAAGCACCTTTTAATTGTGTTGGATTCCTTTCAAACTCATGCAATTTTAGAAGGATTGACTGTGATAATGGCAGGATTAAAGTCATTATGAGGACAGAAACACAGACTCTGTCCTGAACACTATGCTGTGCTGTGATTGATGTTGACTAAATCAGTTACTCATTAGATAACATTATAATTATTACAGAAAACAAATGCTATTACATAAAAACCAGTCACTGTTACTCTTGGCTAAGGCACCTTTGAAAGACAACCATGAGTGGTACGAGTGTTGAAAAATACCTGCACAAAAGAAAAACTTGAAGCTTGTCATAGTCAGTGTAAAATAAGACAACAAGGGTGTTCACCTGATCAGAGTCATTGACGGTGATTTTCAGCCCCCGGAGGATCTCTCCCTCGGGTGGATGCTCATACATGGTCAACTCAAACGTGCTCTGTGGGCCGTTCTCTCCATAGAAAGTAGGCGGATTGTTATTTAGGTCCACAACACGGATCACCACTGTGGTGACCTCATAGTCCATGAGTCTGCCTTCGGGACTTACTTCTGAAGCCTGAACAGAAGGAGTAAAAGTCAAGGTATATTTATCACTCTTAGAATCAGAGACATGGGCCGATTTGGTGTTTTATCTAGCAATTTTTCTACCATGTGTTTTCCCCCCTAATTTTCCTTGTAGATTCATTGAGCCACTGTTCAGCTAATCAATGCACTTTGATTAGGTCTATAAACATTTTTGTGTGGACACAAGCACTTGTAAATAAAATCAGAAGTACAAAAAAATCCCAAAGTGTTTGTTTATTTGCAAGTCATTAGAAAATAGCTGTCTGAGAAGATCAGGCTTTGATTTATAAAGCAGTTATTATATTAAAATAATATAGGAGAGAATGTATGCAAAACAGAGTTGGTGACCGAACAGTAACTTACCCTGACTTTAATGTTGAAGATTTCTCTCTTCAGATAAATGGGGAGAGTCAACAGGGTGATGCAACCGCTTGTTTTATTGATACTAAAAACACCGTCATCACCTGGTGAAAAATATTCGACGGATGAACCTTTATATAAATATTTCTCCCTTCATTTTAAGATGATTGTAGCTTTCTTTGACAAAATGGCTCACCATCATCGAATGAATAACGGACTGGATTTGGGTTCCCCACATCACCATCTCGGGCCTCAACAGTGAATATTTCAGATCCCTAGAGAGAGTAAGGTAGAAAGATTTTGCATTTAATAAATTGGTGGTGGCATGCATCTATAAAAAATAGATCTTTAAAAGCCTCTTTTTGAACCACCATGTGTCTGGTGCAGTTAGTCACAACAAATCGCCAAAATCTAACCTTCTCCCTGTTTTCAAATGCTCATTTAAATGTCACACTCCTAATTATTCTCATTTGGATGAAAGTCAGACTGTGTAAACTTGCTGTGATGAGCTACTGCTGTGACATTTTGCAATAGTGATAAAGCAGTGAAATGCCAGTAATTAAAGCTATGTGATGTGATGTGCCTTGGGTTTTGGGCTCTTTAGTTAGTTATTATTTATACTGCCAATATAAAACCTAATCATTCCACATGATGCCGTTTTATGACAGCAGTGTAACTATGTTGTCCTAAAAGAAAAAGAAAATGACAGAAATGTAGCCATTGTGCTAACTGCCACGTATTTCAACTCTAGACTAAAATCAGTGCATAAAATCACTGGGGGAGCGTTTTCATACTCACTGGCACTGAGATTTCATAAACATAGCCAAAGTAGGGTGTCCCAATGAAAGATGGCAGAGTGTCTTGAGCATCAATCACATTAATTGTCAGGGTAGCATAGGAGGACATAAATTGCTCCTTCCCATTAAAGCTACCACCACCATCCTAGAACAAAAGTAATAACAGTTTAAATCTGCATTTTTAAATGTAAGTCTCCTAGATCAAGAAATTGCTAATTTACATGTTCCTCTGCTATAATCATGTTTCATGATTTTATGTTCATCTTTGAGTATAATCCACCAAGTACCTTTGCAATAACAATGACAAAGTGTGTCCTTGCTTTCTCATAGTCCAGCATTTCTCCAGATTTGATACGAAGGACTCCACTGTGTCTGTCGATGGCAAACAGAGTGGACTGAGCACTCTGCAAAGAAAATGGAACAAATGCATGATTTTAAAAGCACACGCAGAAACACAAATAAGGGGTTACATGAGCAAAAGCCTGTCACTGGCACTCTTAAAACCCTTTAACAAACACTCACATGAAAAGTGGTCAGATGGCAGAATAAAACCACACAAAAGCTCCTTGAAATAAGCCAATTCCAATATCCAGTCTTTGCCCATCTGGATGTAAAGTACCCATATGCTCAAGGACATAGCAGGCAGGTGAAAGCTGTTGTGTCCAGATGTGGACTGCCTGTCTCGTAACTCCTCCTGAGCCACCCCTCGTCAACACAAATGTAACTGTCATTTAATCCCCATCTTCATAACTACACCAATATATTCAGACACAAATGCACAGTAACACAGGAAAAAATATGTAACCCCTGCTTAGTACAACTATACGTCATCAGTGTTGAAAGCAGATTATTGAAAAATCTTAGCGGTTTACAATTTTACCTAACAAGTAAAAGAGCCCCGGGAGGTGACACAAATCCCTTTGGGGTTGTGTAAGGAAGGGCGTGTGAGTGGGCAATATTTTCCCACTGCAAAGTGATACCTGCAGGTAGTAGGTGACCGAGCCCCCTGAGCCTGTGTCTCTGTCCACTGCCTCAACTTTGTAGATACTGCTTCCAGACTCTGTTGTCTACAGTGTCCAAGAAAGAAAAGGTAACATTTAGAGCTTAACAAGACCTTTTTCACTTGGAGAGACAGATACTGTTGTCTCGGCTTAACTTACTTCCAGTACATCAATGATCGCAGGCATGTTTTGGAATTCAGGCTTTTCATCATTTGCATCCATTACAAATATTGTCACTCTTTCCACAACCTAAAAGCAAGAACCGGCAGGAGGATAAAACCACAAAGCATGTTGAAGTTTATTATTTTGACTTTTTTTTAAAAGGAGCTAAAAGTTGATACCTTGCTTTGCCCATCAGTGATGCTGACAAGAACATCAATAGAGTCTTCTTTCTAAGTAAATAATAGTAGTAGGTTAATACAGCAACCAAGTTGTTATAAAAACACTGAATTGTCGATCTGTACATCTTTGTAAAGTTTACCTCTCTGTCCAGCTTTTCTACTAATGTAATGTTTCCAGATTTGGAGTCGACCCTGAAGTACTCTTTGGACCCTGGATCAAAGGAAAGGCCATACCTCACCTCCTGGCCTTCAGGATCTGTGCCATTAAGACGATAAATTTGTGTACCTATAGAGAGATATCATTATTAAGAGTAAATATCCCCTCACAGAAACAAATCGTGGAAAGGTAAACAGTTTCTAACCATTTACTATGAGGTGTACGTTTCTTTTGGTAACAACTGCTGTGGAACAAACCAGGCTGAAACACTAAGTACCATTTGGAGTATCCAGACTGATGCAAGGTGTAGAGGGACAGCTGCACTGCATTCGCAGCCAGCAAACTGTCCCTGACATCAACAGGTGGCAGCAGCAGATGAGCATGTTAGTGTGAGTGCATACACGCCACGCAACATCTGTTCATCTATCAAAGACTACTTAACATCCTGGACTCTCACATATTGGCCACCACAACACACCATTTTGATGATTGGTTGTTCTACAGTCCTATTAGCTGTTCACACTAAATGTTCCCCAGTACAGAGGTCAATCTCACCAACAGCAGTGTCCTCTGAGAGGCTGAACAAGGCCAGGTTTCCATTGTAACTGTAGGGTCCATTGTCGTAGAAATATGGAGCAAAATCTGCTTGTGCTGTGGGCAGACACATAAATCAGAGAAAAGAATATTTAAATGTCACAGGTTTATTTGGCATAATCTTTGAAAGAAGAAATTGTGCTACCTGAACTATCGGTGAGTGGAGATAATAAAGCACAACCTTAATCTATGACTGAATCAGTCTACTGAGTGTTTTGTACACATACTACTGATATGAATTTGTAATTTTAACTGGTTCTCTCTCTATAAATGCTAAAATGGCAGATGAAATGCTATGTAAACTGTATACACAACCTCCTCTTTCTTTGCACTTTGTCTGGGATTAAAGGTGCATTATATCAACCTCCTAAGATACTCTTTCTATACATAGACTTGCGATCCCTGCTGCTTTTACCTGTAATACGATTCCTGTTATTTAAAACAGTTTTAACCAACTATTGCATATCAGCTTTAAAACTAATTTCATAAAACAAGCAAATAATTTTGTGTATCTTAAAAAAATACTTATAATTCGATTTGGAAAACCCAGGGCATAAATAAACTGAAAACTGAGTGGAGGTTCTTTATAACAGTGACAGAATTACAAAATTAATACATAAAATAGCCCAGAGTCTGAATATCATTCACAATCTGATCGCATCAGGATTAGTAAACAGTAAACAGACAAACAATAAGGTAAACTTACCAAAGCAGGCACGCACAAACACAAACAGTAGTAGCAAATGTGGTATCCTTACATGCTTCATCCTAAAGAATAAAGTCATGAAATCGCACCATGAAGACGGCTTCGTCAAGAGACCTCTACATGAGCTACACTTCTCAAGGTGTTCTCTGGCAACTGGAGAAGGCTAAACGCAGATGCTCACATACTAATCCAATGACACATCTTAAGAGCTGCTTCAGGGCCCCCGTAGTCTCCAACTGGGCCTTAGCAACCAAAAGGCCAAAGGAGATGACTCTGTCTGCAAAAGCTGTACATCTACAACTTTGCAGTAGATGTACAGCTATATTCTTCACATTTTTAACTTTTAATGTAAATTGTGTTATTATTAGCCAGAAATACCACAGAAACTCTGTTTTATTCTGATGTTGTCTAAATGATAATTCATAAATGTAAAGTTATTATCGCACTTTTTACAATCACTGGTCACAGTGAAACATAACGATCAGGATGTTAATTTTGTTTTTTAGTTTTAAAGCTTTGATTTATGATCTGCTCTGAATGACTGCAGTCTCAGCTATGTAAACACCCCCCTCCCCTTCCCTTGTAGTAAATATAACTCCTGGCACTGAATTATGACCATTTTACATAAAATATTGTGACCAACTATGTTTGATGTAAATTCTATACTGTAACTGTAGTCAGTGATTTGTTTATATTGGACAAGGGTACCATCTGCCATGCAAACTTTACAACCATATGTTTCAGTAACATAAAAAACCCTCACTACCTATGCAAGTAGCTTTTATGTTGAACTTTTATAACTAAAAACATCACTTGTAGTATGTACTAAAGCGGGCTAATCTTCTTGATTGATAATCTCATTTTCCAGCAGGTGGAAATCTCCTGTAAACAAATGTTATATAATACTTATCCAGAGGTCCTCTTTTTACCAAGGTAGTTTTTTTTTTTTTTTTTACAAATATTTACAAACAACACATAAATGTTTTCAAGTGACTCAAATAATCTAATAATTCTTTCTCAGTTCTCTAGAGTGCAGTGATGTTTAAAAATCCAAGTAAAGACCTCAAACTCGCTGTTTCTATCCTGCTGAAAGAGGCCTAATATAATGTACGAGGGTGTAATGGTCTGCAACAGGGCTTAAGTAGGTGGTACATGTGAATGTAATGTCAACATGGATGGCAGGAGCCCAAATCATCACACTGTCTACCAGTTTACCTTATTCCTGGTGCCAGGTGTTCCCCAGGTAAGTGATGTACACACAGCGGGCAATCCATGTGATGTAAAAGAAAACATGATTTCTCAAACCAGGCCACCTTCTTCCATTATCGTGGCAAGTTCTCATGGTGAAGTGTCCATCGTTGATGCTTTTGGTGGTGGACAGGGGCCAGCATGGGGAACCTCACTAGTCTGCAGGTATATATACACAACAAACCGTATTGCACTGTGTATTCTGACACTTTTCTGTCAGAACCAGCATGAATTTTTTTTTAGCATTTTGAACTACAGTAGCTCATCTGTTGGATCGGACCACACGGCCCAGCCTTCACATGGCTGCTCATGACTTTGTTGCTCTTTCACCACTGTTGGTTTCTTACAATTTTTAATAGATATTGACCACTGCAGACTAGGAACAATCTGCAAGAAATGTAGTTTTCAACATGCTCGGACCCAATCATCCAGCCATCAAACTCAAATCCTTACACTTGCCCATTTTTCCTGCTTCTAGCACATCAACTTTTAGGACAAAATGTTCTGTTGCTCCTTAATATGGGATGGAACAGTATCCCACTCACTAACAAGTGAAGAGATAGTCAGTGTTATGCCTGATGTGTGTTTATAGATAGCCTTTTATATCCACATTTCTATTGCATAGCTTTCTACTATCTACTTTATAAGCTCAAAGTGCAGACCAAAAAACAAGAAGGAAAAAAAATTCCATTTGTTTTTCATTGGCAGATGTTATATGTTTCTTCCCCACTTGGAAAAATAGGTCAAGTATACAAAAGCATTGTTTAATTTCTATGCATACCATTAAAACACTTTGCATGAAAGAGGATTTACACACGTGAATAAAGCATTTCAACATCCAGTCTCGTGCTGATATTAAATCTACTATATATAATCTGAGCTTTTGTCCTAGAACTTATAGTGGATAACATGTTCTAAGTGTGTGCGTAATTCACGAATGTTTTCACTCAGAAAAACACAACACACAGATGCAGAACATCAGGAGCATTAGTACAATTTAATATCACTGACCTCTGACAGCAGTTAAATTCTCAGCATATATGATGAAAGCTTTCGGACTGGGCATGTAAATATCCAGCATTCAAAGAGATCAATCATTTTCATGCCTTTTGAAACTCTTACACAATATACTCACTGAAAACGGTCACATGTCAAGTTACTTCTGTGTTGGTAGTTAGGGTCATGCCTCCAGCTTTAATTTTTTGTAATACTGTAATACATGTAAAAACATGCATTAAACCACTGTTCTCTAATCTGTACACATGTCATCCATGGAGCCTAACTCTGGTAATATAAACTACATCAGATGTAAATATGAAGCACAGTTAGCACTTACATTGTGGTTGTAAAAAAGCCCAACTGAGTTATGGCACGTAACATTATGTAGGTTCAAAAACAAGTACTTTATATGTGTGCTTATATTTAATAATAGTCATATGAATGCTATGATGGTTTTACATCTTCCCAATGATGAGTGTAAAAAGTATGGCTAAAAGTTCACTGTTTTATAGTTTCTAGAATTGTGATTTCAATTATTGTGATATATGTGATAAGCTTCTGATTGCTGGTGACAGGCCATAAGGATGCCCAAAGGAATTTTAGGGCCATGCCTAATCACTAAGACTAAACCTGCCTCGGTGTAACCTGAACCATTTGTACTAGCTGCCAACAAATGACAATGATAAGCTTCCAGATGGGTCACATTTGTCATACCATATTTTTGAATGGGTTTATGTTAACATAAGAGATTTAGCATCAAGATGAAAACATAAAAAGATACATTTAAGGAATAAAGAGCAGCAGAAGACGAACATGTTGTATCACAAAACAAAGCAAACACGGCAAGAGAGTTCTTTCCAAAATAAAGGTCAAACATGGATTCAATCACTTATAGCTTCTGAATATGTGTAAAACACCTGCATGAAGAATCGTTCAAACCAAGTATTAAAAAGGGGAAGCTCTTCAAGTTTCATTATTTCTCCATAAAGTGTTACAGTTACACTGGATTTTTTCCTTTCACATATTGCAGCTACTGTCTAGTGACAAAAAATAAACCCTAAATTATAAAATGCCAAATGAAAACACTGATTTACACAAAAGAAAGTAAGCAAACTAAAACTGTAGCCAGCTATTTTACAAAATTAAAATGATAGCTGAAGCATTTAAATACATTTTATTTCAGATTCCATGTAATGATGATCATATGACTGAATGTTTCTGCCATGAACATTTCAGCTTGTTGTACAGGATTAGAGTACATAGCTCATATTTAGAACACGTTTTTGGCCATTTATCAAGATGCGATGTTGACAGAGAGAGCTACATGTAGAATTAGTTTGGCTCTGTTTCTGTACATGTCTCTGAAACGTGAGAGTCTGGAAAAAGGACTAGTGAACATGTAGATATGTTTATCACTAAGACGAAGAATATTTTGGATTAATCTTGTTGGATTTGAAAGAATCTCAAGCATACCAAAGATACACTCAAATCATATATTTTTATTCCCTGAAAACAGACTTGTGGGTTTATACGGTATCTGGAGAGCTTGATATGTTTAACATACATTGATAAAATTCCAGTTATAACAAACTGCCCTTTCCCCCCTGCTTAAAAAAATAAATGAAAGGAAAATCATGTATTTACCTGGTCGGAAAAGGAGATTTACCAAAAATAGAAAGGGAAACTTTGAATAAACTGAACAGTACTTGTATCACTACAAGAGCACCTGTTCTCAAGCTCCCCACTTCAGCTTTGGCCCTTTGGATTATTATTGATAATCTCTAGTGTGGTTTGCCAAAGCCAAAGGTTTGCTTTCAGTCCTGGTCCACTCTAAAACTGGGTCATGCCTTTAATCTCTCCATCTACAGTATACTGTAGGTTAGCAGCCTTTCATTTTCATAAACTGCAGAATGAATGCACATTTTTTTCTGCTGGAGTAACTGTGGACTAAAATGATCATTAGCAGCTGTACAATAAGCAGTTTATATATAATCTATTAACATTTTATTTCAATATTATGGATGGGTCTTGACTACATTAAAAATAAATAAATAAAAGAAAATTTAAAATTAAAATGAGGGTTTAGCAGTGAAAAAATATCTAGGAAAACAGCATCAGTAAAATAAAAAAAAATGTAGTATTCACAACAGTATTAAACTAAAGCCTAAAGTAATGTTAACATATGCAGAAAAATGCACAAAATATGGGTATGGTGTGCTTACCTAGTTTGTTGTTTTCAGGGAATGAAAATATATGATTCTTTGGTATGCTTGAGATTCTTTCAAACCCAAAATGATTAATGAGGATGACAATGCAATCTGACAAAAAAAAAATTCACAATGAATTAAACACTTTAAGCCCTGACAGGAGCGGAGGAGTTCAAACTAAGCATTTGCTCTCTGATGCACTGGTCCATACTCTGCTTTTACTTTGCTGCCCCCAAGTGGTACAAATCAGATGGTAAACACTACATGTAAAAATAAACAGGTCTGTTTATTTGGCGTGCGTTTGCTTGGATACAGTTTAGAGACAAGACAAAACAAAACAAAAAACAAGCATCTATCTCAAACAGCGGGTCAACTGTAGTAGGGAGTATCTAGCTGTTATATACTTATACAACCACATCTGTAGATGTGTTCTGGACCTTTTTGCCAGCATACATGTAACAATAATAAGCATACATGTAACAATAATAAGCATACATGTAACAATAATAAGCATACATGTAACAATAATAAGAATAGCAATGTTTACCAGCACCCCACAGACAATGTGAAAGTACATTGTACACAGTACTGCATTATGATTCCATACAAGTTCTTTGAAAATCGACCGGCTCTGTGAAATTGAGGCAATACTAACTAAATACACACACCTGCTTTTGTGACATGCTTGAATGACAGGAAATAAATAGCTTATTAAAGCTACAGCATCTGCAAAAAGCCTTTTTTGCTGTGCTCTGCTGTTTCTTGCAGTGTAAAGGTCAGCACTGCTCTTCAAAGTAGCAAGATAGGATGCTAATAAAACGAGCTGCTTAACCTACCCCTACCAAATATAGCTATACAGTAATCAAACCAGTGCAGCAGGATATAAACGGGAGTACATCTGCAAAGTCTCACCTGTAAGAAATGAATTATTTTACACTGCAACAATCGAAAGCAAAGACTGCTTTCTTGTTTTTCTTTGTTTGAATTATTTTCTTGTGGTCTACAGCAGAAGAATAGGCTCCGCTCATTCATTGGGAGTGACTAGGACAAGGACAAAATTAGAATTGAATATATCACCGGGACTGTTCAGGTTGAGTGGTATGAAGACAAAAAGAAGGAATGCTGTGATGGTTTGGACATGTACAGAGGAGGGATAAAGGATACGTTGGACAAAGGATGTTAAAAATGGAGCTGCCAGGCAGGAGGAAATGAGGAAGACCACAGAGAAGATTCATGCATACTGAAGGAGGACATGAAGGAGACTGGTGTCACAGAGGAGGATAAGATAGGGTGAGATGGAGGCAGATGTGTGGTGAGCAGCTTAGTCATGTCATGACCACATTGACTGCAACTTAAAGACAAACATCAACAAAGTACATTTATTTATACATTAAATTTTTAGGAGCTATTTTAGTACACAATAAGTTTTACTATAGCCCACTTTAGCATGAATGATTCGCGCAGCGCGACGAAGCTTTACCTCTGACAGGAGGTTATTTTAATAGGAAAGGTTCGTTGGAATCACGTGACCTTGCCAAGCAACACAGGCTGTCCGGGCGAGAGTTAGGGGTGCCGTGAAGCGTGGCCAGCTCGCTCCTCGTGTCGTGGTGTCCAGCACGAGAGAAAAGTTGGAGAAAAAGTTTTGTAAGAGGAAATACTACGCTTTAACTAGATTTAGGCAACACCGGTGCTTAATTACTTTCATGCGGTTTATCGTTTCCTCTTTTTTTGCTTTACTTTTTAAATCAGTCAGATTTAATTTAAAAAAAAGTATATATATACATATGCTTTCGCACTGGTCACTCTTTTTAGTCTTCGTAATATCAATGTTTCTGTACGAAGCCTCTGTGCTACATCTGGTGGAGGAGAGCAGCCCGAAACCGCGGATAGTACAATGAAGCCGTGCATCCATCTCCGAGACAAAGCAGCAGGATGCTACGAAAGGACGGTATTTCTCACAAATCAGGGACATTTCACTTGAACTCACCAAGAGGCCAAACAAAGGTTTGTAAGACACACCATCTGAACATCACCGCTTCTCATTTTAGTGGCTGCAAATCGCGAAATGGTTAAACAGCGCATATGCAGAGCCGTCGACTCGCACGGGCTTGTAAACATCCTCTTCCTTTTGCTAAAAAGGATGTTGAATTGAGTTTGCTAACCTATTGTTTCAACCTCAAATGCGCAGATTGTTTTCTGTGATAACAGCAGAAATATGCTGCAATAAACTGCATTTCCGTTTACCCCACTTTCCATTACACATATCAATTTCTTATTTAAATAAATCAAATATATGAAAGAATAATGCTTTGATTCCTGCTCATTATATACTGTATTAATACTGTGCAGAAGTATTCAGTAGTCTGTATTTATTCTGGATCAGTAGATGGTACAAATTACACTGAATTAAAATCCCCCTCCCCCCCATGAACGACTGCCAGTGCCATAGTATTGAGCACACCACACACCACACATAGAGGGGTGCAAGTGTGAAACGGTGGTAAACAGTGAAATTAAAGTCAGTCAGTTACATAGAAATAATAACACCTGTGCAAACTATAATGGCTCTCAGTATTTGCCTATAGCACCTCATTGTTTACACTTGCACTCCTGCAGGAACAGCAAATCTTTCTGTGAGACTTTTTGGCTTTTAACATCTCCATGAAATGCTGCTTGGAGGCTTTGAAGGCAGCCATTAATGTAATTTGTAGTGAGATGATAAACAGAGTGATGTGTGTTTCTGCCTGAGCAGATAGTCAGATTTGCCAAACGCTCCAGTGACTCTTGAATATGTAAAAGTGCTCATCTCAAGCGCTTCAGCCTGACAGTTTGACGGCTTTGCCGTATTAAACTAAGATAATTGGGGGATATTTACTCACGGAGCACACAATCATTTCACAAACTACTTGAAAACGGCATTTTTTCCTTTAATTATATGCTTTGTAGAAATTATTCACTCTCCTGACAGGACCAAATGGCATGTGTGTGCGTGTCTACATTTCTTTCTCAGCAACACGAAAACGGCATTATTCAGAGTTAAGAAATTTGTTGTGCTGAATGATTTCAATTAAAATTCATTGTCAATATGGTTAACTTGTTTTCAGAGGAGCACTATGACACCAGTGTGGAATGTCTTCCTAACTGGTTTTCCTTGTTATCCATGCCAGCACAGCTCAATATTCCCAAAGCATGGAAGGATTACTGCTTTAGCTTATGACACTGAATAGTATTGGAAAATATCATGCTCCGACTTACCCAGCTGTCTATGCTGATAAATTAAAAAAAAATAATTGAGAGTTAGAATTGAAGATTACTGAACTGAAAACCTGCTGAGGCTTGTGTCTTAAAGGTTACTCCACAGCATGGGAAAGCTTTTGGTTTCTAAGAAGGACATGCTGGTGATAAGATGATGATAAGATGACCCAATTCATCAACAGAGACAGTTATAATATGTGTAAAGCTCTACTCAGTTTCCCACGATGTCTTGGATTTGGCTTAATGTTGAATCACTGGGAGTGTTGAAGGAATACTTTGCAGTCTGACTGTTTTAGCCCCTGTACCTCCTGTTTTTGTTTACCCCCCTCCTTTTTTTTAGCCTTTATTTGACACATGCAGAGTGAGACGGATTTGAACCCAGGCCTCAGCTGTAGGCCTCTGTTGCCTGTTCCAACATTTGTCTTTTAACTTATGCCATTCTCCAATCCTGGTGAGAAGCAATAGTGTCATTTTCTGTAACTCTAAGAAATAAGACAAACAAATTTGTAAAAGCTGTTGCTGTTGCACAAGCACCTCAATATAGTTGAAATGTCAGAGCAGCACAAATGCAACCACATATTGGTTAGAGATTAAATATAGACTGGTTATGTTTCGGTTTGTCTTTAAGCACCAAGGAAGCTCTGTGATTACAGAAATAGCACAAGAACTAACATCCTATTTTTATTTGTCTTTTTTTTTAGAATGAAGCCTCTGCATGACAAGCTATGACCCACAGAACAGCATTGTAGAGCTCACATTGCAAAGGGAAGACTTAAGAATGAAGACCAAGTATGCAATCGTCTTTATCTGTATTGTGGCCCTGGTCATCATTGAAAAGGAAAGCAACATCCTCTCTAGGTAAGAGTATGGAGAAGAGTCTGTAAGAATCTGCATTTACTTTAAATTTTATATTATATTTGTGCAAATCAGAGGAAAGCTAAAGGGATCTTGTACTTTTTGGGAGGTGTGTTTCCTTTCTTTCCAATAAAATACATATTAAGACCCAGCAGTCTACCTTAGCTTAGCTTGCCTTGATGTAAAGACTTCAGATGTGGCGTTGCCCTGCCCAGATGTGCTTGCCAGCATGTTTCCATGCTTCAGATGAATGCACCTTCTTGATTTAACAATCATAAGAACAATAATCTTAACCCTAAAGCAGCATAAAGCCGGGCAGAATATAATTCTCAGGTGTGAGTTGTCTCACAGGGAGAGTTTGGTGGGGAGATTTAAACCTAAACCTAAACCTAAACTAGGTTTAAATCTGGGACTCCCCACCATTTGACCTTAGAACTGAAGAAGCTTCTCGGATGAAAGGTGAAACGTCTTCAAGCAACTTAAAGAAGTCCAGACGCTTTTCTTTGCAAGCTCCTTTGACTAGCACCACTGACGAACAATGGGCTGTGAGGTTAGTTCATTGATCATTAATATGCAAACTGTCATGACCATTGATCAACAACCCCATTGATCAGTGGCCATTGATCAATGGCCATGAGTACCATTCACAGATAGTTGGGGAATGGCTGCAATCACAGCATTGTAAGATGGTGAAAGATCTACCCTTAGGCCCCCTCCTCGATTTAGAGATGGTCTTCTCCGAATCGGTCATCTATGAATCAAGTTGGGGGCCAAAGGGTAGATCTTTAGGTAGGTTTACTTGGTTTAGCAGTTGTAAATATTTTGTGTTTTTGTACTGTTGTGTGTTTTAGTCATGTTTTTGTGAAGGAAATTTATAATTTCTTTTGTTTTAATTTGTTATGTACTTTTATTTTGAAAGGACTGGGTTGTAGTTGTACCATGCTTTGGAAGGTGGCCTCATGTGTCAGTGTCACTGATAACTGATCGGGGTTCCGCCTTCCTGTAGGCTATATACAGATATATATATATATATATATATCTTTTTACCTTATAAAAATCCTCTGTGCCTCAAAAGTGCTCTCACCCTTGCTGGTTGTTTTAGTTATAACTCAGACATGCAATGCAACTATCAGCTAAATAAAATATATATAAAAAATAATAAAATGTAACACCTTATGGTTTGCCAATGGATATTTTATAATGAAGTCTATTTATCTTGTCAGGGTCTCTGACAGATTGATCCAGAGGCAGATGCCGCAGCAGCAGGATTTCAGCAACATAACACAAAAGGGCTCCTTGATGGCACTCAAAATGCTGCTGTCGCGACTCTCTGGTACAAAGAGGGATAGCTCAAATTTCTCAGAGGAAGAAGAGGAGGAAGAACTGGATGATTCGGGGACATACAGCTACGCCGGTGGCCGTAAGCACGTATTACTCTTGGCCACCACACGGACAGGTTCCTCATTTGTGGGGGAATTTTTTAACCAGCACGGGGAGAACATGTTCTATCTGTTTGAGCCGCTGTGGCATGTCGAGCGCATGCTGACCCCGGCTGCAGAGGCAAACAATGGGACAGTGTTGTCGGGAATTTACCGAGATGTACTCCAGGGGCTTTTCCTGTGTGATTTCTCACCTCTTGAGAAGTTCATCTCTCCCCCACCTCAGGACCATGTCACCCCATCTCTTTTCCGCAGAGAGTCTAGTTTATCACTCTGTGAAGAACGGGTCTGCAGTCCTGTAATCAGAGATGTTTTTGAGAGGTATTGTATAAGTTACAAATCCCAGTGCTGCTAATCAAGCCTGTAATCTTTATTTATGCAGCTGCAAAAGGAAGGGCCTGATGGCCATGACACTACTTTAACACTAAGCTATCGCCTGTGTGTCTTATTAATAATATTCCCAATGTTCTTCTGCATGACAACAGAGAAAAAATATGAATTTAGTATATGCATGACATATTAATATTCTCACTATTCAGTTTTGTAAAATGCTTTTTATCATTTAAAAACGTTATCGTCTTGTTTTAGGTATCACTGTAAGAGTCGTCGCTGTGGGCCACTGAACCTAACTCTTGCATCTGAATCCTGCCTTTCCAAACAACACCATGCCATTAAGACTGTTCGTGTGCATCAGCTGGACACACTGCAGCCTTTGGTAGAGGACCCTCGCTTGGATATCAAAGTTATCCAGCTAGTTCGAGATCCAAGAGCTATCTTAGCATCGCGCATGGTGGCGTTCTCTTCAAAATATCACACGTGGAAGGCTTGGGCGCAGAACGGCCAGGTGCCTGAAGATGATGAGGAGGTGAAGAGGCTCAAAGGAAACTGTGATCACATTAGGATGTCTGCAGAGGTTGGACTGAGCCAACCTCACTGGCTCAGGAACCGCTACATGCTGGTCCGCTATGAGGATATCGCCCTCTACCCTATGCAAAAGGCAGAGGAGATGTACAAGTTTGCAGGGATACCATTTAGTTCCCTGGCCAGGGAGTGGATACTGAGGAACACCCAGACCACACAGAAAGCCAGCGGGATTTACTCCACGCAGAAGAACTCATCAGAGCAGGCAGAGAAATGGAGATTTACAATTCCCTTTACATTGGCTCAGGTAGTTCAGAGAGTGTGTGGACCCACCATGAAGCTGTTCGGGTACAGATTTGTGAATGATGAAACGACACTGACCAACAAGTCCATTAGTTTGCTTGAGGATAGATTATTTAATTAATCAGGAGGTCAACATACAGCTGTGAAGCTGCAAAATGCTGCATGGCATGCAGGGCATGTGAGCCAGCAGAAGCCATTACTGTTCAGATCAAAACTGTTAAACAAAGGTGCCATAAAAATACAAACAAAGGTGCCTCACATGTAGGCCATACAGTAAGATGCTCGCCAATGATGTGCCTCATTAAAATAATGAAAAGCTACTTGATAAAGGGAAGTATTTATTTGCATACTGTGTTCACTGAGTAGCCTGAAGATTAAACTTTGTTTCATGCTCTTTATTTCATTTAGAAATAAAACAAGCATAGATATCAAGGCCAAATGTGACAGATTGTTATGTAGGATTTTTTTTTTTTTAAATCTTTGTCATGGTTGAATTTTAAGTGACAAACTTAAAGTGAAAGTTATGTGCATATGTTATCTAAGGGAAATTTTGTCTTAGAGGATCCTAAGACCTTTTCTTAATAACACCCAGTTTGGCTGATTTCATGTTTTTATACATCAGCATTCGTCTAGGCATTTGCTAGAGTTACGTTCAAGTAGACATGATGTGCTGTGATAGAGTTTTACAAATCTTACTCAGGAAAAGTATGTTGTGTCTCGATGACAAGCATTGATATTTTCTCAACATTGATATTTTCTCAACAGTGTGCTGTGTAAGAGAATAGGTTCTTCTTTTGAAAACTCTGAGATTAGAGAGGATAAATTAAGATTTATTTATCAATTTAAAGATGATATATGAGAAGTAGTAACACTCATATCTATATGAAATATCTACTCAACTATTTTTTTGTTTTGTTTTTTTATTTCTAGCCAGCAGCCTTAACTGCATCTGTATTAAAGTATTTCCCACTTCTCTAAACGTCCAAGTAGGTTTTGTTTAATTTTGTTGCTTGCGTGAGAGCTGATCTGTTCTTATGTTGGTCATTAAATGTAAGTTTTTTTTGTTTTCTTTTAAATCACACAACAACTCAAAGTAATAAAATCACCCCAAAATATTAAGACCTGCAGAATCCACCCTGTAAAGATGTGTTGTGTTTTGATGTGACCTGTGTAGGTTCACTCACTGGCCGATTCATTTGGTACACTTGTTCAGCTGCTTGTTAAAACAAATATCTAATCAACCATTCACATGGCAGCAACTTGATGCATTTAGTTATGTATGCTGAAGTTCAAATTGAGCATCTGAATGGGGAAGAATGGTGATTTAAGTGACTTTCATGCTGTTGGTGCCGGATACGCTGGTCTGAGTATTTCAGAAACTGATCTGCTGGGATTTTTCCAATAACCATCTCTAGGATTGAGGGGAAATGATCTGAAAAAGAGAAAATATCCAGTAAGTTGCAGTTCTCTGGAAGAAAATTCCTTTTTGATGCCAGAGGCCAGAGGGTAATGGCATGACAGGTTTGAGCAGATAGGAAAGCAGTAGTAACTCAAACACTCATTGAAGCCAAGCTATGCAGAAGAGCATCTTTAAGTGGAAAACCCATCGAATCTTTAAGCAGATGGGTCAAAACAGCGGAAAACCACATCTGATGCCAATCCTGTCAGCTACAAACATGAAACTCAGGCTATGGGGCAAAAAAGATTTTAAAATTGTTATCTGATCTTATGAATCTAAATTTCTGCTGTGACATTTGGGTGGTAGGTCAGAATTTGGCATAAACAACCTGAAAGCATAAATTCATTCTGCCTCGTGTCAATGGGTCAGCCTGGTGGTAGCAGTTTAATGGTGTGGGGGGATAGTGTTTTAGCATGCTTTAGACCTGTTAGTACCAGCGGAGTATTGTTTAAACACCACAAGCTTCCTTGAATATTGTTGCTGATATTCAAGGAATAACAAGGAATGGACACATGGAAGATAACCATCTTCCATTTGTCCATCCTCTGATGGCTGTTTCCAGCACAGGAGGACCATGCAACAAAGTTTAAATCATCTTAAAACTGGTTTCTTTAACATGTCACTGTCCTCAAATGGCTTCTAAAGCCACCAGATTTCAATCCACTCCTTTTGGTATGCTGTGGAATGTGAGAGTCGCATCACAGATGTGATATCTGCAACCACTGTGAGATGCTATCAATGCAATATGAATCATAATTTTTGAGGAATGCTTCCAGCATCCGGTTGAATCTATAACACATTGAACTAAAGCAGTTTCAAGTAGGGCTGTGCGATATGACCAAAATCTCATATCCCAATATAAGAATTCTATCGTCCTGATAACGATATAAATCACAAAAATGTAACATTTTCTGTAAATTCTGTGA